GGGGAAGCACGGGGGGATTGAGTGAATGGAGGTTGTTGGGGGTCCATGATGTGGGGGAAGCACGGAGAAGCATAGGACGCTGCTCGGTGGGAGGCTTGGTGGGGTCCACCGTGACCTGCATGTCCGACAGCCTGGTGGGGAGGAAGGAATGGAGTGAGCACGGGATGGAGGGAGCATTGCAAGGGGGGCACCCTGGCCTGCTTGCTTGCTGGGAAGCTTGGTGGGGTCCACCGTGACCTGCATGTCCGACAGCCTGGTGGGGAGAAGGGATGGAGGGAGGTGTTGGGGGGAAGCACGGGGGGATTGAGTGAATGGAGGTTGTTGGGGGTCCATGATGTGGGGGAAGCACGGAGAAGCATAGGACGCTGCTCGGTGGGAGGCTTGGTGGGGTCCACCGTGACCTGCATGTCCGACAGCCTGGTGGGGAGGAAGGAATGGAGTGAGCACGGGATGGAGGGAGCATTGCAAGGGGGGCACCCTGGCCTGCTTGCTTGCTGGGAAGCTTGGTGGGGTCCACCGTGACCTGCATGTCCGACAGCCTGGTGGGGAGGAAGGAATGGAGTGAGCACGGGATGGAGGGAGCATTGCAAGGGGGGCACCATGAATGGTGCTGCTTGCTCGCTGGCGGGCTTCTGAGGGTCCATGCTCACCTTCATCTCTGATAGCCTGTGGTGTGAGTGGGAGGGGGAGGCGGCAGGCAGGAGGATTGGGGGAAGAAGAGTACACGGGGAAGAACCATGAATGGTGCTGCTTGCTCGCTGGCGGGCTTCTGAGGGTCCATGTTCGCCTTCATCTCTGATAGCCTGTGGTGTGAGTGGGAGGGGGAGGCGGCAGGCAGGAGGATTGGGGGAAGAAGAGTACACGGGGAAGAACCATGAATGGTGCTGCTTGCTCGCTGGCGGGCTTCTGAGGGTCCATGTTCGCCTTCATCTCTGATAGCCTGTGGTGTGAGTGGGAGGGGGAGGCGGCAGGCAGGAGGATTGGGGGAAGAAGAGTACACGGGGAAGAACCATGAATGGTGCTGCTTGCTCGCTGGCGGGCTTCTGAGGGTCCATGTTCACCTTCATCTCTGATAGCCTGTGGTGTGAGTGGGAGGGGGAGGCGGCAGGCAGGAGGATTGGGGGAAGAAGAGTACACGGGGAAGAACCATGAATGGTGCTGCTTGCTCGCTGGCGGGCTTCTGAGGGTCCATGTTCACCTTCATCTCTGATAGCCTGTGGTGTGAGTGGGAGGGGGAGGCGGCAGGCAGGAGGATTGGGGGAAGAAGAGTACACGGGGAAGAACCATGAATGGTGCTGCTTGCTCGCTGGCGGGCTTCTGAGGGTCCATGTTCACCTTCATCTCTGATAGCCTGTGGTGTGAGTGGGAGGGGGAGGCGGCAGGCAGGAGGATTGGGGGAAGAAGAGTACACGGGGAAGAACCATGAATGGTGCTGCTTGCTCGCTGGCGGGCTTCTGAGGGTCCATGTTCGCCTTCATCTCTGATAGCCTGTGGTGTGAGTGGGAGGGGGAGGCGGCAGGCAGGAGGATTGGGGGAAGAAGAGTACACGGGGAAGAACCATGAATGGTGCTGCTTGCTCGCTGGCGGGCTTCTGAGGGTCCATGTTCGCCTTCATCTCTGATAGCCTGTGGTGTGAGTGGGAGGGGGAGGCGGCAGGCAGGAGGATTGGGGGAAGAAGAGTACACGGGGAAGAACCATGAATGGTGCTGCTTGCTCGCTGGCGGGCTTCTGAGGGTCCATGTTCACCTTCATCTCTGATAGCCTGTGGTGTGAGTGGGAGGGGGAGGCGGCAGGCAGGAGGATTGGGGGAAGAAGAGTACACGGGGAAGAACCATGAATGGTGCTGCTTGCTCGCTGGCGGGCTTCTGAGGGTCCATGTTCACCTTCATCTCTGATAGCCTGTGGTGTGATTGGGAGGGGGAGGCGGCAGGCAGGAGGATTGGGGGAAGAAGAGTACACGGGGAAGAACCATGAATGGTGCTGCTTGCTCGCTGGCGGGCTTCTGAGGGTCCATGTTCACCTTCATCTCTGATAGCCTGTGGTGTGAGTGGGAGGGGGAGGCGGCAGGCAGGAGGATTGGGGGAAGAAGAGTACACGGGGAAGAACCATGAATGGTGCTGCTTGCTCGCTGGCGGGCTTCTGAGGGTCCATGTTCACCTTCATCTCTGATAGCCTGTGGTGTGAGTGGGAGGGGGAGGCGGCAGGCAGGAGGATTGGGGGAAGAAGAGTACACGGGGAAGAACCATGAATGGTGCTGCTTGCGCGCTGGCGGGCTTCTGAGGGTCCATGTTCACCTTCATCTCTGATAGCCTGTGGTGTGAGTGGGAGGGGGAGGCGGCAGGCAGGAGGATTGGGGGAAGAAGAGTACACGGGGAAGAACCATGAATGGTGCTGCTTGCTCGCTGGCGGGCTTCTGAGGGTCCATGTTCACCTTCATCTCTGATAGCCTGTGGTGTGAGTGGGAGGGGGAGGCGGCAGGCAGGAGGATTGGGGGAAGAAGAGTACACGGGGAAGAACCATGAATGGTGCTGCTTGCTCGCTGGCGGGCTTCTGAGGGTCCATGTTCACCTTCATCTCTGATAGCCTGTGGTGTGAGTGGGAGGGGGAGGCGGCAGGCAGGAGGATTGGGGGAAGAAGAGTACACGGGGAAGAACCATGAATGGTGCTGCTTGCTCGCTGGCGGGCTTCTGAGGGTCCATGTTCGCCTTCATCTCTGATAGCCTGTGGTGTGAGTGGGAGGGGGAGGCGGCAGGCACGAGGATTGGGGGAAGAAGAGTACACGGGGAAGAACCATGAATGGTGCTGCTTGCTCGCTGGCGGGCTTCTGAGGGTCCATGTTCGCCTTCATCTCTGATAGCCTGTGGTGTGAGTGGGAGGGGGAGGCGGCAGGCAGGAGGATTGGGGGAAGAAGAGTACACGGGGAAGAACCATGAATGGTGCTGCTTGCTCGCTGGCGGGCTTCTGAGGGTCCATGTTCACCTTCATCTCTGATAGCCTGTGGTGTGAGTGGGAGGGGGAGGCGGCAGGCAGGAGGATTGGGGGAAGAAGAGTACACGGGGAAGAACCATGAATGGTGCTGCTTGCTCGCTGGCGGGCTTCTGAGGGTCCATGTTCGCCTTCATCTCTGATAGCCTGTGGTGTGAGTGGGAGGGGGAGGCGGCAGGCAGGAGGATTGGGGGAAGAAGAGTACACGGGGAAGAACCATGAATGGTGCTGCTTGCTCGCTGGCGGGCTTCTGAGGGTCCATGTTCACCTTCATCTCTGATAGCCTGTGGTGTGAGTGGGAGGGGGAGGCGGCAGGCAGGAGGATTGGGGGAAGAAGAGTACACGGGGAAGAACCATGAATGGTGCTGCTTGCTCGCTGGCGGGCTTCTGAGGGTCCATGTTCGCCTTCATCTCTGATAGCCTGTGGTGTGAGTGGGAGGGGGAGGCGGCAGGCACGAGGATTGGGGGAAGAAGAGTACACGGGGAAGAACCATGAATGGTGCTGCTTGCTCGCTGGCGGGCTTCTGAGGGTCCATGTTCGCCTTCATCTCTGATAGCCTGTGGTGTGAGTGGGAGGGGGAGGCGGCAGGCAGGAGGATTGGGGGAAGAAGAGTACACGGGGAAGAACCATGAATGGTGCTGCTTGCTCGCTGGCGGGCTTCTGAGGGTCCATGTTCACCTTCATCTCTGATAGCCTGTGGTGTGAGTGGGAGGGGGAGGCGGCAGGCAGGAGGATTGGGGGAAGAAGAGTACACGGGGAAGAACCATGAATGGTGCTGCTTGCTCGCTGGCGGGCTTCTGAGGGTCCATGTTCGCCTTCATCTCTGATAGCCTGTGGTGTGAGTGGGAGGGGGAGGCGGCAGGCAGGAGGATTGGGGGAAGAAGAGTACACGGGGAAGAACCATGAATGGTGCTGCTTGCTCGCTGGCGGGCTTCTGAGGGTCCATGTTCACCTTCATCTCTGATAGCCTGTGGTGTGAGTGGGAGGGGGAGGCGGCAGGCAGGAGGATTGGGGGAAGAAGAGTACACGGGGAAGAACCATGAATGGTGCTGCTTGCTCGCTGGCGGGCTTCTGAGGGTCCATGTTCACCTTCATCTCTGATAGCCTGTGGTGTGAGTGGGAGGGGGAGGCGGCAGGCAGGAGGATTGGGGGAAGAAGAGTACACGGGGAAGAACCATGAATGGTGCTGCTTGCTCGCTGGCGGGCTTCTGAGGGTCCATGTTCACCTTCATCTCTGATAGCCTGTGGTGTGAGTGGGAGGGGGAGGCGGCAGGCAGGAGGATTGGGGGAAGAAGAGTACACGGGGAAGAACCATGAATGGTGCTGCTTGCTCGCTGGCGGGCTTCTGAGGGTCCATGTTCACCTTCATCTCTGATAGCCTGTGGTGTGAGTGGGGGGGAGGTGAGGGGGGGGCAGGAGGATTGGGGGAAGAAGAGTACGCGGGGAAGAACCATGAATGGAGCTGCTCGCTGGCTAGCGGGCTTCTGAGGGTCCATGTTCACCTTCATCTCTGATAGCCTGTGGTGTGAACGGAGGGGGCAGGAGGAGAGGGGTAGGAAGAGAAGGGCAGGAGGAGAAGGACAGGGAAGGACCATGAAAGGTGCTCGTTGCCTGGTTTCTGAGGGTCCATGTTGACCTTCATCTCTGATAGCCTGTGGTGTGAGCGAGAGGGGCAGGAGAGTCGGCAGAAGAGCACATGGGTAAGAACATGAATGGTGCCTGCTAGGGGCAGAATAGCATACGGCTTCCGAGGGTCTGCAGTCACCTTCACCTCAGAGAAGGGTTCCGGGGAAACAGTTTCCCGCAACCCTTCACATGAGTGCTGCGTCGATAACGTTGCACCAAGACTTCATGGTGTGACCTGACTCCTACACTACAATGCGTAAACAGAGTAAGTTAAGTGTTCCAAGTAAGAGACTCACTTAAGGGGTGCATCCACAGCATTGTACCAAGTCTTTATGGTGTGCCCAGTCACTTAGTTGATATACATCTAGCCTCCCTGTAAAGCACTTACTTAAGCGCCGCATCCACAGCATTGTACCGGGTCTTCATGGTGTGTCCGGATTCTTTCACAGCATTCACGAAGCCCGGAATGCCGAGCAGCTCTGTGAGGCCCAGCAGCACCTGCGCCCGCGAGTAGTACGTGTAGCTGATGGTGGGAAAGAGTGGGGATAGGGAGCAGGGAAAGGAAGAGCGGTGCGTTAATAAGGAAGGCAGAGAGAGGTGTGTTCACGAAGCCCGGGTCGTTGGGCATCTCTGTGAGGCCTAGCAGCACCTGCGCCCGTGAGTAGTACGTGTAGCTGATGCGGGGCGGGGAGAAGAGGGGTGGGGGCAGGCAGTGAGAGGGGGAAGGGGATGGGGAGTGATGGAAAGGAAGTGCACATTAAGAAAGAATGCAGAGGGTGCATTCACAAAGCACAGGATGCCGAGCATCTCCGTGAGGCCAAGTAGCGCCTGCGCCCGCGAATAGTATGTGTAGCTGTTGAGAGGGGAAAGGGAGGAGGGAGGGGGAGGGAAGCAGAAGGCATATCTGCGAGCCCTAGAAGCACGTGATAGAATTGTTGTTTTGAGACATCACAACACAACACCTGCGCCCGTGAATAGTACATGTAGACGATGAGGTGGTGGGGGAGTTGTTAAGGAGGTGGGGAAGGGTGGATCGAAGGTTGGCAAGACGGGATGAGTGGCTGGGAGAGTGATACAGTACCAGAACAACACATACCCGATACAGTGCAGGAACGCTACACCAAACGCTTCGCCCTTTAGCTCGTCCACCAGCTTCACCGCCTCGCGCACAAACCCCTCCTCATCACCCATTAACCACAGCTCCAGCCGCTTCAACAGCCCGTCCGCGAGCTCCCTCTCCCGCCGCGCCTGCCACTTCTTCACCTCCTCCACCGTCAGATTCCCCCACAGTCAACTCCCCGACTAGAGGCTTGAACCTACCCAATACAGCCCCAGTACACTTACCCGATACAGTGCAGGAAGGCGACCCCAAACGCTTCCCCCTTCAATTTATCCACCTGCTTCACAGCCTCCCGCACAAACCCCTCCTCATCCCCCGCCAGCCACAGCCCCAGCCGCTTCAGCAGCCCGTCCGCCAGCTCCCTCTCCCTCCGCGCCTGCCACCGCTTCACCTCCTCCACCGTCAGATTCCCTAGTCCCAAACCACATACCTGACACAGTTCCAGAACCACCACGTACCCGATACAGTGCAGGAAGGCGACCCCAAACGCTTCGCCCTTCAACTCGTCCACCAGCTTCACGGCCTCCCTTACGAACCCCTCCTCATCCCCCGCCAGCCACAGCCCCAGCCGCTTCAGCAGCCCGTCCGCGAGCTCCCTCTCTCTCCGCGCCTGCCACCTCTTCACCTCCTCCACCGTCAGATTTCCCGCCGCCGTGTACGCCACTGTCAACTCCCCCACAAGCGGTTTGAACCGCTCTGCACCGAAGGCCATGGTGAAGAATGAGCCGGGGTCCATGAATGTGTCTTCCAGAGCGGCGCGGCCGAAGCGGTCGTACTGCTCGCGCTTGGCGGGGTCCATGAGGACTTGGTACGCTTCGCCGACAGCTTGGAACTTGGCCTTGGCGCTCTCGTCGCCGGGGTTCTTATCAGGATGGCATGTACGGGCTAGCTGGGGGCGGGATAGAAGTGTGAGAGACAATAGGGGCGAACAAGGGGTTGGATGTTGCAATAGAGGTTCTCGTAACATTGAGTACCGCCCCCCTCCTCTTCTCCCCCCCTTTCCTCCCCCCCTTTCCTCCCCCCTCCTCTTTTATCCCCCTCCTTCCCCCTCCTCTTTTCCCCTTCCTCCCCCCTTTCCTTCCCCCTCCTCTTCTCCCCCCCCCTCCTTCCCCCTCCAACTCCTCCTTCCCCCACTCTCCCTCCCCCTTCCCCCAGCAGCACGTACCTTGTAGTAAGCCTTCTTAATCTCCACGGATGACGCGTCCGTCGCGACCTCTAGAACCAGGTAAAGCGCCTCGTCCTTAACCTCCCGCTTCTCCCCCTTCTCCGCCGCGGCCGTCGCTTCCGCCGCTTCCGCGGCAGACGTGGCGGCTGCTTCGTCGGCAGCAGCCTTCGCCGCTGACGTGGCAGTCGCCTCTGTTTCCGCTTCGAGCGCGATCTTCTCGACGGTTTCGCGCGTGTGCGAGTACGTCTGTTCGTTAAGCTTATCCGCGTCTGAATCTTCTAGAATCTCCCCTTTTTCCGCCTCCTCCTCGCACTTGTCCTTCTTCATCATCTCCCGAACCGCGTCGGGAATGTTCTTAATCCCCTGGCCTAGCTGCTGCGCGCCTTGCACTACCCCAATAGTAGGCAGCACGACGAGACTAGCCACCCCCGCCACGGTCCCTTTAACCAATCCGATGCCGCCCTCTTGCGCAGCGCCCGCGATCGGCGCCGCGACGAGAGCACCGACACCGGCGAAGACTCCCTTCCCGACCGAAATAAAGCCTTTTCGGATGCCTTCGCGAAGGTTCTTCGCGCTGCGGTCCCCGTAGAGCTGGTCGATGCGCTCCTGAACCTCCTTCAGGCTCATCGGCTGCACGCCGCGATCGCCAGCGCCGCCGCCGCCGCCGCCGGTAGGCGGAGGGGGAGCGGACGCCATTTTCTTTGCTGCGGTCGAGCTGACAGTCGGAAGAGGTTCAACGGCGCGACGGCGGAAGGAAGAAGAGAAAGGAAGAGAGCGGAGGAAGGTGGGGGGGGGGGGGGGGGGGGGGGGGGGGGGAGTGAAGCGGAGGACGGCGGGGAGCGGGAAAGGGGACGACACGATAAATTTGAAGGGCGATTAAGTGCGTTTACAACATATAGAGCATGAATGGGTATTGGAGGTGAACTTTCTCCGAGCAGATAACTCTTTCGTAGTCGTAACTCGCTCATCTTTCAACTTGGTGACGGATAGGAAACTACGACAAGCACGCGCACAAAATAAATAAATAAATAAAGTTAATAAGGAACGCTTACTCCTGATTGGGCAGGAACTCGGCGGCTCGACGGAGAGCGCTTGGAATGCTCGCCGGCACCCAAGCTGGGCCTCGTTCGCGAGCTATGCTGGGCAGGAGGGGAGATCGACTTGATTAGTCGAACAAACACAAGGCTCCTAATGGAGCTTTCCAGAAAATAGCTCCTCGAGATTGTCCTTGATGCTGAGCTCAACGGCTATAATTTTGGAGCTGAAACTGACGGACGAAGCGAAGCTCAGGCGAAACCTCGAGAGTTTCTCCACACATTTGTGCTGGTTGCGACTGCCAAAACATAGCTTGGGGAGGAGTATGCGACAAATGAAGCATGAATTGTCTGTCGCAAGAGAGGGGTGGCTGGCTGGCAGCAAATATTGGATGGGAGAAATGCACGTGAGCAGGGGATGCGATGCGACCGGTCGCACAGCTTCTGTTTGGAGGAGGCGGTAACCAAGGCGAGGGGAGGTGATGGTTGTTTGACTGCGCTGATTGGTGCACGACTGTTTTGAGGTCGTCGGCAGGTTCTTTCCGTCGGCCTTGGTTCGCGCTGGTGTCGGTGTCGTGCCACAACAATCGGGCGCAATTCAATTGGCTGGACGATGAAATTCTGCCGACGGAGGCACTGCTGGCCGTCACTTTCAACGACAAATGAAGACAGATTCGGATTGATGCATTTGGGAGTGTGCCGCTGTCGATTGTCGCATAAGACTTCGCGCGCTCGCCCAAATTTGAGTACCGTTAGCGCGTGTGCTCCACCATAAGATGTTGCTATAACATGTGTCAACTTCAAAGCCTTCAAACCAGTGCATGCAAGAAGTCAAATAGAGTCAGATTACATTACCAACCAATCCCATTCCAGCTTTGACGTGAACATAAAATTCCTACATCACTATCTGGCTAGACTTAAGCATAACCGAAACACTATTTCCATGTATAAAGCATCGTCAACAAGCAGTTGAGTCTGGTATCTCTTCACTGCTCAGGGACGACAGCGAGAGGCTAAGGTTAAGATCCAATAGAGGACGGGAAGGAGGGCTCATCCTCCCAAAGCTACCCGTGGTCGTGCCGCTATAGGAAGCGGCATTAACATAAGCTCCAGGGTCCTTCCCTGGACCAAAAAAAACAGGTCCATTTCCTGCTGCACAAGTAAAACCCTCAGCTACTATCTGAGCCGCAACAGCGCACGGCTCTCGTTGAGAGGCAAGGGAAACCAACTCTCGGCTTTGCTCCATCACCAGCTTCTGCCTCCGCTGCAGTTCCAGCTGTTCCCTCTGCTGCTGCATGACTGCCTGGTGGGACGCCAGCAGCAGCGCCGACAGCTTCTCCTCCTCTCTGCACAGCCTCTTCCTTCTCGTACCATTCCGGTCCATTACCCGATGCTCCGCCTCTTGTCGCTGCTCCACTTCCCGTTGCCGCTCTGCCTTCCGTTGCTGCTCCGACTGGAACCCTGATTGCAGCATCACTTTCTCCAATGGCGTCAACTTCTCGCTGCCATTCTCCTCCAACCGTGCTCCCCCAATCGTGCTCTGCCGTGCACCAGCCTCCAACCAACTCGCACAGCCCGAGTCGGTTCCGCTCCGAGGCTCTTCGCCTTGCACGCGATGCCGGTGCCCATCCGGCAGTGATGCCGCCATTCCGAGGGTTGACCTTTGCAAGTCTGCTTCCCCAAGGTGGTCCAACTCCCGTGGTGGTGGTACTGCCAGCATACCTTTCCCAGCTTGACTCTCCGCCAAGACGTGAAGTCTGTGGTGCCGCCACAGCTGCTGCTGCTGCTGCCGCTGAAGCTGCTGCTGTGGTCCCTCATCAGCCAACCTGTTGCCAACCCTGCGGTCGTCACTGCAGGAGCGGAGGAGCCGGTTCCCCTCATCGCTCGCCGACTGCTGCTCCGCGCATTGCTGTGCGATTTGCTGCTGCGCGAATTGCTCCGCGAAATGCTGTGCGAAATGCTGCGAGAATCGCTGCACCACGAGATTTGAGGCAGCAGAACGATGCATCGCCGTGATAGCCGGAGGCTCCAGATCGGTCTCCCTCGCGGCCTCCACCATGCGTCGGCGGTACCGCGCCTCCAGGAGCAGGCCGCGGGTGACGTGCTCCTCAGTAGTAGTTGTTGTAGTAGTAGTTCCAAGGGGCATGACAGCGCCGGCGCTGCGTGGTTGGAGAGCGTTTTCCGCTGACGTGGATGTAGCAAAGCTACCACCGGCGGGAGACGGTGATTTCGCAGCAGCGAGGGCAAAAGTGGCACCAAAATCGGCGGCGGCGGCGGCGAGTTTAGGTAGACGGCGTGCAAAAGGGATCGTCTGTTCCGGGTCGATTGATGTTCCCTCCTGTCGCGCGTGTAGCTCGGAAATGCCCGCAAAAAATAGCTCTCTGTCCGAAAAGCGAGCATATTCCGGTCCACCGCGTTTGCCAAGAATAGAATGGCCGCCTGTAGTACAATCTTGCCTGCTGGGAGCAGCCATGCGACCGCTTCCGCTTGCCGGCGTGGCACCGTAGGTAATGACGTTAGGGTTCCATGATGGCGAGTCGTTCGACATTTGGGCAGCCGCGCAGGCCGCTGCGGCGGCCGCGTCGTGAGGATACGGCGACGGCGGTGGCGACGGCTCCACGACGCGGCCGGCTAGCGGCGGCGACGGTAGCAAGCCGCGCCGCGCCGGCGGCGTCAAATCTCGGCAATAGCCACTGGCAGTTGTAGTACCACGCTCTTGCGGCGACGACCAGAAAGGCGCGGAGAAGCAGCGGCTGGCCGTTGACGCAAAATCTCTTGATCCCTCTCGATTCTCAAACGGCGCAGCCGCGATTCCGGCGAGCGCCGCCGTCGCCGCCGCAGGCGCCGGCGGCGGTGTCGTCCACGTCAGCGCGAAAGGCTGCGACGTGGCGACATCTCGGAGAGCGGAGTGCTGGCACATGGCGGCTAAAATACTCAATTGTGTACAGAGGAATCACTACTATCAGTGGATACTCAGATATTCCAGAAAATAGTATTGCTGGAGAGCCAGGGCCACATTCGAGGCGACGAGGGAGGACGAACCAACAGGTTAATATCATGAGCGCTGCGAGGGCGGGTCACACATAGGCAAAATCGGTATTATCACTCAGACGCTTTGGCTCGCAAGAAGGGCATAAAGATTTGTATCAACTGAACTCTCCCAACAGATTTCTCATAATTTCTTCACTCTCTCCCAGCCATCCATCCCTCCCTCCCCATCCCAAGGCCGCTCCTCAGGTACTGCACGAGCATCGGCGGCGTGTGAGTCGCTGAGGTGAGGTGAGGAGAGCCGCTCAGGCAATCATGTGAGTCGAGAGTGCGTCGAGACTCGAGTTTGGGTTGTCGACTCAGAGAACCGTCCATCCATCCTGTCGCGACTCGCGCGGCCGAGATCTATAAGATACGACCACTGGCCATGGCTACGGAGATTGGACGGGGGAATCGGAGGCAGAGGCAAGGAAGAACCACTGTCCTTCAGCCAGGCTGGCAACGGAATTTACGCGTCCTATCGCGGGCTGCAATGTTCTTAGAGGCCGCCATCAATGCCCCTCGCACAATCATCATGAGTTACTGCCAGCGAAGCAGCTCGCAGAGCAACTCTGTTCAAGACATTGGAAAATCGGCTAGAGGCCGTTTCGGTCCCGCGTGACTAATCAGCGGAACTCTAGAGACCAGACTCTTGGCTCGAGAGAAACCTGTGAGTTTGTTGGGGAAGACGAAGGTGACGTCTGGTGGCACGCGATGGGTGACCGACTGGTGAAAATCTGATGGCGACATTCTGTACACGCAATCCCGCATTATATTTCGCACTCGTACTGGTGCTTGGGGGGTTTTGAGCGCTATTAGATCTCGCGGCGCGCGATTTTTTGCAGGAACTAATGCCGGTACTACTACTGTAAGTGCACATAAATATGGACGGACGGTGTGGGAACGAACAACAGCAACAGCAAATGACGCACAAAAACTTGTCCATGTGCCCTTGGTACTGTATAAGCTGCCCCTTTCCTTGTCGGTGGGCAGGGCAAAAGTAGGGACCGGACGGAAAGGACGAAACGTGGGCGAGAGAAGACCAATAACTGCTGGTTTGGGGATGCAGTCGCCAGGACACGGAGACCCACACGGGACTGAGGTTGAAGTTTTGAACGTCAACGCGTGGTTCGTTGGTCCTAATTCAATGCGGGCAGTGTACATTACCTGCTGTGGGAAATTCTGCCACGAGCAATGGTGTGATGTGATTGGAGTCACTAGTTCCGAAGAGGTTTTAATTTCGGGTTTGCTCATCATTTATTAGTCTTGTTCGGCTGATCAATCCCGGTCACATGCTAAACGAGGGGAGAGGTTTGGGTTGGGACCTCGACCTCTAAAGAAAGCGGAGTGGATGGATGTCCAGCCCGATGTGGAAACGGTCCCGACTCCCAACTTCGAAATGCCCTCTCTTTGCTCCGTCATACTGTAACCTGAGTTTTGTTGTGTGCAATCTGCTTCACTCGTGTGCAATCTGCTGTGTGTAATCTGTTTCGCGTCGCTCTGCTCTGCTCTGTGGGCCACCGAATTCTGTTTCTGTTCTGTCATGCTCTGCGTGGCAAGAAGCAGTCCTCCAGATCCGTCAGTTGCAATCTAGATTTCGTAGAAAGCAACCGCCAAGCCTTCCCACTTTCGAGGGGTTCCAGCTCAGCATGGTATTTCAGTTAGGCAACACCAATGCAAAACACTGAACTAGTGGTGTACGGACTCTCATAAGACGACACAACTTACAATATAGCATGTGCATGAGGATTTTGCATATTGCTTAACCGAAGCTAGCCTCATTCCATAATGACCTAAGCAGCCGCATTTGCTTGAACGATTTTCTTACGAGGGCCCTGCAAGCATACAGGATGGAATGGGGAAAGGTTTGAACACATACGCTTGTGAAATCTGAATTCTATGGAATGCGTCCCAAACGATATTGAAAGAACTGAAGGGGGTGGCCCATTAACAAATATGACGGCACAAACAGAATATAAGCACACAAATGGAAGCACTGGCCATGAGGGAGGCAAAGCACTGGAAAGAAACCACGAAAGCACCTCAGCACATTCGCCATTGCCTAGAACCAAACCAATGGAATTATGGAACACAGAAAATTACTACCATACGAATGTCCTCCATTCTCCCTACATGCGCGCATGCATCTATACCATGGTCCACCATCGGCATACATGTCTACCATGCTTTGACCATGGCCATGCATGTCAGTGTCTGTGCTCTCAACACCAGCATGCATGTGTGAGTGTCTGTTTTCCCACCACCAGCATGCATGTGTGAGTGTCTGTGCTCCCACCACCAGCATGCATGTGTGAGTGTCTGTGCTCCCACCACCAGCATGCATGTGTGAGTGTCTGTGCTCCCACCACCAGCATGCATGTGTGAGTGTCTGTGCTCCCACCACCAGCATGCATGTGTGAGTGTCTGTGCTCCCACCACCAGCATGCATGTGTGAGTGTCTGTGCTCCCACCACCAGCATGCATGTGTGAGTGTCTGTGCTCCCACCACCAGCATGCATGTGTGAGTGTCTGTGCTCCCACCACCAGCATGCATGTGTGAGTGTCTGTGCTCCCACCACCAGCATGCATGTGTGAGTGTCTGTGCTCCCACCACCAGCATGCATGTGTGAGTGTCTGTGCTCCCACCACCAGCATGCATGTGTGAGTGTCCATGCTCTCACCATGGGAATGCCAATCTCCTTCAAATCATTTTCCGACATGCGATGAAGAGTCTGCAAGTCAATCTGACGGAGGGGGTGGAAGGGAAAATACGCACGACGACAATATAATTTTACAAATAGGAACGGCAAGAGGCACAGCAGATGGGAGGATGTGAGGATGTGAGCATGTGAGCATATGAGCATATGAGCATGGGAGCATGGGAGCATGTGAGCATGCGAGCATGTGAGCATGTGAGCATGGGAGCATGTGAGCATGTGAGCATGTGAGTTGGCTGGCTGTCGGACAGATGTGGCAAAGAAGGCCCAGAAAATTGCTAGACTTGTGAATTACATGCTGGTCTGGATGGAAAATGGATTAGATTCTGATTTCAGACTCAACTTCAAATACTTGCTTGAATTCCGGTCAAGATATGGCCTGAATACTGGCTTCAACTCTGGCTTAACTTAACTTAGATTCTGGCTTAACATTTGGATTAGAATCTGCTTGGAGTTCTGGCCTAGTTTCAGGCGAAAATGGGCAACGGGGAAGAGGGAGCGGGGGCGGTTGAAGGGAACGAGGAGGTGTGCAATTGTGTATACGAGTATGTGACAGCGTGTCCGTGAGTGGTTTCGATACAGAGCGGGCGAGGGGAAGGAAGGCGCATCACCTCTTCTGTTGCGAACAGGTCGGCATACTTGCTGAGTCCCAGACTCGCAAGAAAGGAGGGCATGTGTGCATGAGTGGGTACGGTGCATTCATGGGAGAGGGGAGGGAAGGGAAATGCCATTACCTCTTCTGTCGCGAACAGGTCAGCATACTTGCTGAGTCCCAGACTCGCAAGGAAGGAGGGCACTGTCTGAGTGGGTGTGCGGCTGGGTGCATGAATACGTGCGCGTGCGTGCATGAGTGGTTACGGTGCATCACCTCTTCTGTTGCAAACAGGTCGGTATACTTGCTCAGTCCCAGACTCGCAAGGAAGGAGGCCACCGTCTGAGTGGGTGGGCAGATGGGCACAAGGGCGGATGGGCAGAGGGTTGTGGGAACGTTGAAGACAGGTGTAGAAACAAAAACCTAATATGCGATATAGAGCAACCCGCATGTAACATGCGTAAGGGCTGAAGACAAAAACCATGGGATGAGAGCGCATAACTCACACTTGAGCGTGCTCCTTTTGACTCTGACTCTGACTTGAGCATAACCTCGTCGAGTCGACTCAAAAGTCAAACCATGGGATGCGCATGCATCACTCACTCGCACTGCAGCCCTCTTCCCACACGCTTTCTCACCTGCTGCTTGTCGCCCCCCTCCATAGCAGCCACCCCCCTCTCCTCCGATGGTGTGCAGTGTGTGTCTCACACACTACAGAAGCCACACTAGAACCCTCTTCCCACACGCTTCCTCACCTGCTCCAATTCGCACTACAACCTTCCCCCCAGCCGCTTTCTCACCTGCTGCTCGTCGCCCCCCTCCATTGCCACGTCAGCATCCATTGCAGCCACCCCCCTCTCCGCCCCCACTCCTACTGCCCCCACCACCGTGCTTCTCCTCCTTATGCTCCTTGCTCCTCCACCCTCATCGTTTGCCACCACCACTGTCAACCTCCTCTGCTGCTCCTGCTCCTGCTGCTGCTGCTGGTGTTGCTGTCGTGGCTGCTGCTGCTTCACTAGCCGTTCTCCCCCTCCCCTTCCTCCTGCTGCGGTAGAAGCAGCGGCAGCAGCAGCGGCTGCCACTCTCACCACCCCTCCCACGTCCCCACCAACCACCACCCGCTCATCACTCCTAAAGGATAGAGAGGAGAGGTTCGTCACTGCTCCTCTACCCCTCACCACCATTCCCTCCCCTCCTCTTCCCCGTGCTACTGCTTCCCCATTTCCTCCCCTCTCCCCTTCTGCTGCAAAAATCCCCTCACTTCCCCCCACACCCGCACCTAGTCTCCCCCTGGTGACCTTCCCCCCACTTACCCCGCTTCCCCCGTTTCCCCTCTTCCCCACGCTCCCCCCAGACAGCTTGTGGCGCAGGTCCCCCACCTGCACCTTTCCGCCCAGCCTTCCCCCCAGCTTCCCCCCTCCCCCCCGCAGGTTCCCCCCCTTGGCCTTGAGCAGAGTGCGGAGGTCGTTGGCTGGGGGAACGCCTGGGAAACTTACGGGGAAGGGGGGAAGAGGGAAGGGGGAGGAGCGGGAGGGAGGGGACAGGGGGAGGAGCGGGAGGGAGGGGCAGGGGGCGTAGTCGGGGGAGTGCAGAGGGGAGGGGAAGGTAGTAATTGAATATGTGGGATTCGAAAGGGGAGTGCGACTGAGGTGCTGAGAGGAGAGAGCGGGAACAGAAGAGGGCGATGGGAACACCAGGGCAACAGGAAAGAGAAAGGCTTACTTGCTAACATCACCTTTTCATGTTTAATTTCTCTCACTTGAAAATCTCGAAGAAATGGGAAGGATCGAAGGAGGGGAGTCAAATTGAGAATTCTCGAAAGGATTATGGGGCGGTTTGGGAGGCGTGGAAAAAGAAGGGAGTGGAGAGGAGTGGAGTGGGATGGAGAAAGTGCGCACCGTCGCCAGCTGGATCGTCATTGCCACCACCGCTCTGATCAAACAGGTCGTGATGCCATCTGTCTTCGTTACCGCTGCCGCCAGTAGAGTGACGCCTGATTTGCGGTGGGAAGGGAGGAGAGGATTAGATGCAAGGCGCACCGTTAACAGTAGCGTCATCATCTTCTCCATCACCTCTCTGGTCAAACAGGGCGTGATGCCATCTGTCTTTGCCACCGCTGCCGCCAGTAAAGCCAGTAGAGCGTCTCCTGAATGGTTGTGGTGGGGATGGTGGTGGTGATTGAGGTGGGGAGGAGGGGATTCAATGAAGGCCGCACCATCACCGGCAGCGCCATCATCATCACTGCCACTGCTTTGGTCTCCTTCTGTGGCGCCTCAAAAGTCCACTGCTTTGGTCAAACAGGTCGTGATGCCATCTGTCGTCACTGCTGCCAGCACCACCAGTGTCGCCAGTAGAGCGTCGCCAGAATTGATGCAAGCTGCACCGTCATTGGCGGGTCATCATCATCACCACCACTCAGGCAGGAAGGACCCCAGAACACAAAACCTCTCAGGCTTAACTGATAAATGCTTTATCCCTCCTCCCCATCTCCGCTGCTCCTCCCCCTCCCCCTCTCCCCCCCTTCACCTCCGCCCAATCCTTCTCCTTCTGCATACCCATCCCTTCCCCCTTCTCCCCTCCTCCCTCTCCGTCCCCTCTCGTTTCCCCATCCCACGCCTTTTCCCGCCTGTTCTCCACGTCGCCTCCCTTGAGACACCGACGTGACGCCGATCCGCATACAATGAGAGCCGGGTTAGGGTCGGTTCAGTAGTGAGGGAAGCAAATACTCCTTCCCACACCACTGAACCGACCCTAACCCGAATTGCACTACTGAAAAAAAGGGGTTGGCTGAATCAGGAACTACCACAAGCAGGGAAGGCGACTAAAGCAGCTGCTACCACGCCCAGCTATCCAACTCCAACCTCAGCTTCTATCCGCGACTCAATAGTCACTGAAACGCGTTATCTGACTCAGTGTACCCGAAGGTAGTAATTATGTCACCTTCACTCAGTGTACCCCGGGCCACAGGCAGGCGCGGCGCACCTGAATGTGGTGGCCGAGCCGCCCTTCTTAAACGACACGCGGTTCCTGATTGGCCCGGTGCTCGCCGCGCCTGCGCGCACGCCGCCTCGGCCCCCCGAGAGGCGGGTTCTCACGGTCTCCCGCTCCTCCTCTAGGCGATCCGCATACATGCCTCCGCGCGATTGGCGTGGCTTTTGAGAATTCTCAAAAGTGCCTCCGCGCAATTGGCTGATTCTTCTCTCACGCCGACTAGTTTTGCCCTTTGGCTCGTGTTGTTGTCTCGTTTTTGTTTAATGGAAACGGACGATTCTATCGTAAAGGCAAATGACGCAGAAGCAACGGAGCTGTGAAAACGTCGAAGCACGTATGGTGAAGCGATATCGCAGCAAGCCCTAATCCACGATACCACCAACGGAATTCTTGCGAGAATATTCAAGAGTTCAAACGCGGTGGTTCTAGAATACTGCACGAAAGGCAAAACTCTGGACTTCGTTCGTGAGACGTGTTTCTGATTACATCGTTTCCTTTCAAGGTCGTTGGCGATTTGAATCGTGCTGGGACACGTTTCGTGCTGTAACCCGCCCTTGCGAAGCTGGCAAACCTCGCGCACACGTTCCCTTCTGGGGCAACTCCGAGTCTGTAATTGACACGTACCGAAACTTGCACTCAGTTGAAACAGGCCCCGACATCTAAACAGCAGGCTTCGCTACACGGCAGCAACACTGGTCAAGATGCTACACTAAGTCTCGCAAAATCACCATTTACAATAGATATTTAGGAATCAATCAATCAATCTGAACTACCGTAGCTCTACCAAATTAGGTGCGCTCTCATATTTAATCAAAAGACTTTAGACCCACAGAGCCTGTGGGACTTGACGACGTATAGAACACCAGCCCCTTCATCAGCAAACCGGTGCCTTCCGTGTATGGCACGCGCCACGATGCCGCCTTAGAAAAACGCGCGGCAGCGCTGTAAAAAATGCACGAGCCATTGTCGGCACTGCCTCCACCCCCCAGCTCCCACAGCCCCGTTTGGCCCGCGCTGTGCCTCCCGAGCAGCAGCAGCCGCCCCTCCTCTCCTCCTGCCCCCCTCCAGCTTCTCCTGGAACCCAAATAGCGTATTCAACTCCAATTCCTTCACCACCAAACCGATTCCTTCCTTCACATTCACACGCCATGGTGCCTCAGAAAAATGCGCGGCATCCATAGAATATGCACAATCCATTGCCGCAGCCCCCACAACACCATTCGGCCCGCCCTGTGCATCCCGAGCAGCAGCCGCCCCCCCTCCCCTCCTCATCTCCTCCTGCCCGCCTCCAGCCTCTCCCAGAACTCAAACAGCATATCTGACACCATTCCCTTCACCAGTTCCTACCGTAATGCAACACCGGTTCCATCCATATGCAAAGCCGGTTCCTCCCATTTATGCCACACCATGCCACGCCGCCTCAGAAAAACGCGCGGCTGCCGTAAAAAATGCACGAGCCATTGCCGGCACCACTTCCAGTCGCTCCAGTCACAACCCCATTCGGCCCTCCCCCAGCAGCAACCGCCCCTCCTCTCCTCCTGCCCGCCTCCAGCTTCTCCCAGAACTCCCGCCACGCCTGCCGGCGACTCTCCTCCAAATCCTCTATGGAGCACCCCCGAAACTTATCCTCCATCGCCAAGAGAGACTGTGAGGAAGAGGGGGGCGGTGTAGGGCAGGGTGGGGGGGGAATAAACAGGATGCAATCCTCTATGGAGCACCCCCGGAACTTATCCTCCATCGCTAAAAGAGACTGTTAGTAAGCAGGGGGGAACAAGGGGCGGCGGAGGACAGATTAGGATAAGTGGTACTTAAGGAGATTCTCTTGCATTGGAGATGCAACCGAGAGGCAGCCAGGCATGTCCTGAGCCGATTCAGCCAACTACCTCTCTCTCAAGCTCCTAAGACCAGTTCTCACCCGCACCCCACCCCACCGCCTCTCTCAGCATCGTCTCTCACCTCCACCCCTTCTCACCTCTCTCAGGCTCCGCAGGCTCTCTTTGGACAGCAATCCGCAGAACTCAGCAGCCTGGTCGTGAGTGAGAGTGCCCGCCCGCAATACACAGAGCATGCCTACCTCTCTCACCCGCTTACCGCACGCAACCCACCCCCCTCTCTCACCCGCTTATCGCACGCAACCCGCCCCCCGCTCTCACCCGCTTACCGCACGCAACCCACCCACATCCCCCCCACCTCTCTCACCTTTCTCAAGCCTGAACCTCACTCACATTATCAAACCCACCTCCCCCCGTCCTCCCCCTCCTGCTCACCTCTCTCAAGCTCCGCAGGCTCTCCTTGGACAGCAGACCACAGAACTCAGCCGCCTGGTCGTGAGTGAGAGTGCCCGCCCACGCAACCTCTCCTCACACCGCTCATGCTTACCTCTCTCACTCACCCGCTTACCGCACCCAACCCACCCACATCCACCTCCACCCCTCCTTACCTCTCTCAAGCTCCGCAGGCTCTCTTTGGACAGCAGTCCACAGAATTCTGCCGCCTGGTCATGGGTGAGAGTGCCCGCCCGCACTGCTCTCCTCACAGAGCTCATGCCTACCTCTCTCATCCACTTACCGCACCCAACCCACGCACATCCACCTCCACCCCTTCTCACCTCTCTCAAGCTCCGCAGGCTCTCTTTGGAAAGCAGTCCACAGAATTCTGCCGCCTGGTCATGGGTGAGAGTGCCCGCCCGCACAGCCTGCTCACAGAGCGCCTCTGCCTCCTCCCTGCTCTTCCCCATGCTCGCCTGCCACACCGCCGCTGCATGCTGTTGCACTGAGATCTCACTGCCAGCTGGTGCCGGTGCTGCACCCGTTGTACTCCTCGTTTGCTGCGGCGCCAACCCATGTGGTTGCGCTGGGATGACACTGCGATTAGCCGCCTGCTGGTGTGCCCCCACCACACTGCCAGCTCCCCCCCCTTGATGCGCGTTTTGCGACGCTTCAAAGCTCATCAACACACCGCTGCTCGCCCCGTGCTGGTGTGCCGAGCATACTGTCTGTTCGTGTGCCTGTTCTGCTAGCACACTGCCACTAGTCGAATGGTTTGCAGCAGCTGCTGTAGCTGCGGCCGTGCCTGCTGCTGCTGTGCCCGTGCCTGCACCCGTCGGTGCAACTGATGTGACAGCTGGCAGAAAAACACCTGAAAAAACACCTGACGTAGCACCTGGCATGGCACCAGAAGGGCTACAGGCAGAAGAATGATCTGTACTGGCAGATGTGGTGGCAGTGGTAGTGGTGGTGGCGGTGGTGGCAGTGCCAGTGGTGTTGGTGTTGGTGTTGGTGTTTGAGTGAGAAGAGCGCCGCTTGTTCCTCTTCCCGCACCCAGAGCGATCAGATGTCATTCCGTTCCTGCGCGGCTGTTCGGCTGAGGTGCAGGCGGCGATAGGAGCAGCAGTGGCACCACCGTCAGCAGCACGAGTGGCAGCAGCAGTAGTAGCAGCGGCAGCATGAGCAGCAGCATCAGCGGCCGCACGACTAGCAGAAACAGGATCTGCTAGCAAAAAAGCACCAGCGCCAGCAGAGGAAGTTGACTGCTGTTGCTGCTGGTGCTGCTGCTGCAGAGCAGCTAGGGTTGCCAAAGCCTGCATACCCGCCAACCCAGGGCTTCCTACTGCCTCTCCTGCTGATTCTCTTGCTGCTGCTGCTGCTGCTCCATCACCTGCCGCTCCCGCCTCGCTTGTTGCTGCACTTGCCTGTTCTGCTGCCTCTATAGGCTTCGGAAAATAAGCCAGTTCCCCCTGCCTCTGCCCCTGCCTCAGCTGCTGCCCCTGCTGTCCATGCTGCCCCTGCTGTCCCTGCCCCTGCTGCCCCTGCCCTGGCTGCCCCTGCTGCCCCTGCCCCTGCTGCCCCTGCCCCGGCTGCACCTGCTGCCCCTGACCCATGAGCGCTTTAGAGACCTGCCAGATGGCGGCTGCCTGCTCCCCCTGCTGCCCCTGCCCCTGCTGCTGCCCTTGCTCCCCCTGGAGCCTTTGCCCCTGCTGCCCCTGCCCCTGTCCCTGTCCCATGAGCGCCTTAGAGACCTGCCAGATGGCGGCTGCTTGCTCTCTCAGCAGCACCGCCTCCTCCCCTTCCACCTTCCGGTGCCACGACAGCAGGCTCGGCAGCGGTAGGCCCGGGAGCGGGAGGTTCGGCAGAGAGGCTCGGAGGGCCGTGAGAGGGCAGGTGGAGGAGGAGGGGTTGGAGGAGGAAGCAGGGGAAGAGGAGGGGAGAGAGGGTGGTGAGGGAGGAGAGGAAAGAGAGGGAGGAGAGGGAGAGGGAGGCGAGGGAGAGGGAGGAGAGGAGCGGCGGCAGGGAGGGAGGGATGGAGGGTTGGTAATGACGGGAGTTGGCAATCGGGGGGGCGGTGCTGCAGTGGCTGGTGCAGCTGCTGCATAAAAAGGCAGATGCGGGTGGTTGTGTTGGTAGTGCTGCTGGTGCTGGTGCTGGTGCTGGTGCTGGTGCTGGTGGTGTTGGTGAAGGGGTGAAGAGGTGTTGAGGCTGTGGTTGGGGTGGTGAAGAGGTGTGGAGGGATTAGCTGCCTCACTGGCTCTCAGTAACGCGGCAAACGCGCTGGGGGCAGTGGGAGAAGAGAGAGCAGAAGGCGGAGGAGGAGGTGCAGAAGCATTAGGGGGAGGGGCAGAAGCACGAGCGGAAGGAGCTGGGCCGGAGGAAACAGGAGTGGAATGAGCAGGAACGGGGAGAACGGAAGATGGGAGAGGGGAGATGAGAGGGACAACGTGTGGTGTGGCAACGGAAGCAGCGGCAACTGAGACACTACTGGCAGCAGGGGCGCTACCATAACCTGAGGTGGTAGCATGAGCCGAGGAGTTCACATGGGCCGCTGCAAAAGCTGCAGCGAAACTGCGCTGCCAGGCGGGAGGCTCTGGTGAAAACTGCCCGCCCCCTTTCTCCCCATGCACCCTCTCCTGCTGCTGCTGCTGCTGCTGCTGGGCGGCTACATTTGGACGGATCTTCCCAGCAGCAGCAGTAGCCCCTGCAGGCTGGGATGCAAAGAGAGCTGCGAGGCTGGGCGGCATGGGGGCTGCTGATGCTGCTAATGATGCATGCGATGCTGCTGCTGGTGCTGATGGTGCTCCTGCTGCTGTTGCTGCTGTTGCTGCTGTTGGCGGTGGTTGTGGGGCGGAAGCAGCTTCAGCCATGTGCACGTCCTCTGTGGCATGCTCACTGCGAGGAGCAAGGGATGAGAGACGGACAGAGAGTGGGCAAGCATGTGAGGGGCAAGCACATGAGCAGCACCAGCAGCTTCAGCCATGTGCACGTCCTCTGTGGCATGCTCACTGGGGGGGACGAGGGATGAGAGAGACGCGCAGAGTGGGGGGCTGACGGAAAAATGGATTAATAAGCGGGGATCAGATGGGTCGTATCCATATCCATTGCACTTCACCTGGCAGCACCGCATTGCACCTGTCAGCATCGGACATGGCAACATCAAGGACGGAGGAGGGAGTTATCTGGTCCTCCCTGTGCCATGCCGCCTGCCCCTGCCCTCCCACCCCACTCAACACCCCACCTCGCCTGGCAGCACCGCACCTCACCTGACAGTACCGCATGTCACCTGGCAGCACCGCATCGCACCTGTCTGCATCGGACATGGCGACATCAAGAACGGACGTGGGAGTGATCTGGTCCTCCCTGTGCCACGACGCCTGCCCCTGCCCTCCCACCCCGCCTCCTCCTCCTCCTGCTCCTCCTCCCACACCTCCTCTTCTTTCCTCCCCAGCACCCACCTCTGCTCCACCCCCGTTTACACTTTTTACTCCCGTTCCTGCTCCCTTTCCAGATCCCGTTCCTGTTCCCATTCCTACTCCTGTTCCTGCCTCGGCACCCACACCAGACGCGACCCCAGCTCCCCTACCCCTCCCAAACCCTCCTGCGAACCCACTAGACCCAGCAGCAGCAGCAGAAGCCGCAGCAGCCGCAGCAGCGGCAGCAGCAGCAATGGCCGCGCCTAGCCCTGGATTGGGGCCAGCTATACCTGGCATGTCAGCAATACCCGGTGTGCCACTGCTGCCAGTCTGCCTTGGACCGCAGACAGCACTAGACGCACCACCTGTAGCGCAGGCAGTAGCATTAGCTGAGCCACCAGCCGTGGCAGCGGCTGTTGCACTGGCTGTAGCACCGGCTGTAGCACTGAGGGCACTGCTGAGCGCACCTATCCCTGTGCTCTGCTTCGCCTTCTTTGAATTCTCCAGCGCCAGCATCAGGTGGGGCAGGAAACTCCCCTTCCTTGTACCTAATTCCGCCCCTACACCCGCCCCTGAACCAGCACCGGCACCCCGAGGTGACCTTTGAATCGACTCAAAAGCAGCCCCTAACCCACCACCAGCACCAGCACCGGCACCGGCACCGGCACCAGCACCAGCACCACCCATTGCTGCACTAGCAGAGATGTTGGTAGCAGCATCACCAGCGGCAAACGGGGAAGGCAGGATCGAACGGGAGGAAGGCTTGGAGGAGGCTCGGATGCCGGCTTGGCCCAAGCCAATCAGGCCCGGCGCAAGACCTGGAGACTGGGACGTTGAGCTGCGGTTGTGCGATTTCCGCCCCATGTCCCCCCCCTTGCTGCTGCCTAGCGTCCCTCTCGCCCCTGCGACAACCCCTGCTGCTGTAGCGGCTGCAGCCGCAGCAGTGGCTGCTGCTGCTGCAGCTGCTAACCCTGCTGCCAGGGATCCCGCCGGTGCTGCTGCCGCTGCTGCTGCTGCGGCTGCTGCTGGCGGTGGGGATGGTGAGGATGATGACTGTGCCTTGCGATGGCTTTCAACTTCGCCCAGCAGCTCAGCCAGACGGAGAATCCTCGATCCACATGCGGCGGCATCGGGAGGAGTGGTTGCAACTGAGTGAAACTGCTTCCCCTGCTTCTGCTGCGCCTGCTGCAGCTGCTGTAGCAGTGGCGCTTTCTGCCCCTGCTGCTGCTGCTGCTGCTGCTTCCCCTGCTTCGCTTGCTGCTGCTGCTTCCCCTGCTTCGCTTGCTGCTGCTGCTGCTCCTGCTGCAACTGCTGCTTTCCCTGTTTCGCTTCCTGCTGCGTCTGCTGCTGCTTTCCTTGCTGCTGCTGTTTGCACCCGCCCATGCCAAGCGAGGACGACAGAGCTACAAGCCACGCGGGCGCACCCGGGCAAGCTGAGGCAGGGGCTGTGGCAGCAGCGGTAGAAGCTGCAGCGCCTGTAGCAGCGGCTGTAGCTGTAGCACCGGCTGTAGCACCAGCTGTGGCCGCAGCTGTAGCAGCAGCTGAGGACGATCCAGCCCCAGAGTCGCCACCACTACCAGTGCCAGTGGCACTGGCACTGGCACTGGCACTGGCATTCACACCACTGGCAGTACCAAACCCCGTCGACCCCATCAGCGCTCCAAACAGAGACCTGGCTGCAGCGGCAGCAGGGCAGGCAGCAGTGCTGCGGGAGCGACAGGAGAAGGAGGGGAGAGACGGGAGCAACGATGCGGGCTTTTCAGCAGCACCCTGTTTTGTATTCTGAGGTATGGTATGGTCTTGAGGCAAAGTGTGGCTCTGAGGTGAGGGGACTGTTTGCTGAGGGGAGACAGGGTAGACTTGGCGGGCAGGCGAACAGCACTGCTTCTTTGCCGGCCGGCATGGCTCGGCGCCGAGCCTCGACGAGTCTGTGCCGAGCCTGGACGAGTCCCCGCCGGGCCGGCTGGGCTCGGCGGCCGAACCTGCCTGGGGAGATTTGGTATCAGAGCGCAGGGTGGCTGGATAGGGGCGGAACGCAGAGGCGGTTGGGCGAGAGGAGGAGGAGATAGAAGCAGGGGGGGCGAGAGAGGCAGGGGCCGGGGCAGAGATGGGGACAGGGGCAGAGAGAGGGACAGGTGGAGAGGCAGAGACAGGGGCGGCTTGAAACGAAAGGGATGCGCCAGAACCAGCTGTTGTGGGTAGCGTTGGCACGGGTTGCGTTGGCATGGGTTGCATTGGCAGGGGTTGCGCGGGTAGATGCATGGAAGAGGGCGGACGCGGTGCGAAAGCAGAGAAGAACACGCCAGAGGCAGCAGCAGCAGCACCAGTACCAGCAGCACCACTAACTGCAGTAGCAACACCAGCACCAGAACCACCACCAGCGACAGCAGCAGCACTAGCACCAGAACCACCAGCAGCAGCGGATGCTGCAACGGCTGCATACAGTTGATCCCCTAGACTGCCCGGATGACTACTAGGCGCGTACGTATCCGCGCCCGTGCCCGCGCCCACGCCTGTGCCCGGGGCCATAGATATGGGCGCCTTTTGAGGCGCCTGACCAGGATACTGCTGCGGCACCTGAAAAGGCACCTGAAAAAGCGCCTGTTGAATCGGCTGAAAGGATGAGCCCACGGCCATGGAAAAGGGCGCAGGGTGGCAGGCGACAGGCGCTCTTTTTGACTCACCAACAGGCTCGGGTTCCAAACCTAGAGTCAAAGTTGATGCCAAGCCGTGCCTGCTTGGCTCGGCAGGCTCGAGGCTCAGCTTCGTTACCCTGCCAAGGGATAGGTCCGGGCTTGCAACGGTAGGTGTGCTATCTGACGGTCCTGATGGTCTGTTGCTGCTTCCACCATGTATGGAACTGTCCTTCTCGCTGTCCTTATCTCTGTCCTCCGAGCACCATTGCATTGGCAGCAGCTGCATCAGCCTCGGCGGCTCCTCCTCCTGCCGCTGCTCTTGCTTTTGGTGCTGCTGCAGCTGCTCGCTTTGACCATGGGTATGGTTACAGCCCACTGCGTCTGCTGTCGGCTCTGTGCTTCTTCCTGCATCTGCTCTCGGCTCTGCTGCTGCTGCTGCACTCTCGTTAGCACCTGAAGATGTCGCCACAGTGGACAATCCAAGCTCTACTCCCCCTACACCAAATTCTCCCCCGCACCCCTCACTTCCCCCCTCCACCTCCATCGCTTCCGCCCTCCCCTCACTCCACCACTCCCGATGCCGCCTCAACCTCCCATTTTTCCCCTCACTGCCCCCTTCCGCTCCCCTTGCTCTGCCCAGACCCGCGGAGAGATCCAAGCAGGGGGGCGGGGATGTCTTACCCGTTCCCCCCATCCTCCCCCCACCCAATCCCCCCAGAACTCCGCCTACTTGCTCCACCTTTACGGGTTCCGCGGATCCTGCGCCCCCCGCCCCCAAACTAGCACCCGCCAGGTCTACCGCCCCCATGCTTGCATCTCCACCGTTGGATGGACCCAAATCTACCGGCCCCATACTCGCGCTGCCCTGCATTACGGCGCTCGAGTCCAGTAACTGCCTGGCCAGATACGACCTGTGAGTGCTGTCGTTTTGTGCCATCGTCATCAGCTCCGCTGCCGCCCCCGCTACCCCCGCCGTTCCCCCCACCCCCCCTGTTCCTGCGCCGCCTACTCCCGCTCCGCCGATCCGCGCTCCCCCCAAACTGAACTCCGCGGAAGGTATACCACGCAGCGCGCCTTGCCCCGCCCCGTTCGCGCTGGTGAAGTCCCCGCCTGCGCGATTTTCCACCTCCGTCCCCGTTACTAGCTGCCTCGATTCTAGTTGCGACGCGCCTTCCGTTGCGCCCCAGCGCTGCGACGACGGCGCAGCGGCGGAGGAGGCCAGGTGGTTGAAAAGTAACGGCACCGCTGGGGCGGAAGAATGTGACAGTAACGAGGGGGCAGGATGTGATTCTAACGAGGGGGAAGGATTAAAAAACGAAGGGGACGGCGCGGAAGCCCCTGCCGCCTGCGCAATAGCGCCAGGCGGGGAAGGGGGAAGCGGAAACGGGGAAGACGCGGGGGGGAACATGGGCGGAGTCAGCTGGGGTGACATCAGCATCTGCGGGTGCATTTGCGCCTGCGCTTGCGCTTGCGCCTGCGCCTGAAACTGCGCCTGAGCCTGCGCCTGCACCTGAGAGTGCGCCTGAGCCTGCGCCTGAGACTGCGCTTGGATGTGCGCCCGCGGGAATAGCGCGGCTGCTATCGCGTCTACAGCGCTAGACGCGGGGAGGGATCCGGAATTGGGTGGAGGCGCAGCCATCGCGAAGGAGGCGGGGAGCGGGGGGGGCGTTCTCTTTGCGGGGAGTAGCGCGATCGCGGCGGCAGCGGCGGAGGCGGAGTCTTGCGGGGAAGGCGGGAACGCAAACCGCGAGAACGCCCCGGCAGCCGCCGCCGCTGCCGCGGCCGCCGCGCCGGCTTGTCCGTCGGTCTGCGCGGCGGACTGCGCACCGAATTGCGCGGAGGGCTGCGCGGAGGACTGCGCGGCGGGGCGAGAGGAAGAGGCGGAGCGGCCGTGGTAGGTGAGCGTGAGCACGAGAGCTCCCGCGGGCGCGCTGCTGCTGCTTAGCAGCCTGGCGGGGGGCACGGGGAGCGACGAGAGGAACACGCGGAACGAAACAGAGCGTTACGGGGAAGTACGAGACGGGCACGGAGAGCGAAGCCGAAGTGAGAGGCGACGGAGGAGAGTTGGGTAAAAAAACAAACTGAGCTGAAAAGTTGCTGACAACAAGTGACAAAACGAATCTCAAGGAAAGGAAAGCGGGAAGCGGGAGAAGGTCAAGAGGAGGGGAAGCTGGGGGCGGGAGAGGAGGGGAAACGGGGGTGGGGGATGGGGGAAAGGGGAAAGAAAGGGAAGGGAATGCGGAGGTACGGCGCAAGATGCGCCGATGGGCGGATGAAGGGCGCGGGCGAGCGGAGCTCACTTGAACTCCGCGGGTTTCTTGGAGAGCTTGGCCGTACGCGATATAATCTCCTCCAGTGACACGTTCGCGGCGCCCAGCAGCTGATCGCGCCCGCGCGGCTGCGACATGAACACCTCGCAGCGCAGACGCTGCGCGGCGGGGGGGAAGGGGGAAACGGGGCGGGGGGAGGGGCGGAACGAAGGGGGAAGAGGGGAGACGCGGGAGGTGGGGGAGGGGGAAGGGTGGGGGGAAGAGACAAAGAAGATGAGGGGAACGCGTGGCTCGCATCTGACCGCGACTGCGCGACCGGCGCATGAACACCTCGCAGCGCAGAGATTGCTTTTGATCGGCGTGGACAGGGGGAAGCGTGGGGGAGTGGAGAGGGGGAGGCGGGGTGGGAGGAGTGGGGGAGGGATGGGAAAGACGGGCGGCGGAGTTGAGATAGGAGAAACGGGCAAGGCGTGGGAAAGGACAGCTTGATGAAGCAGCGGGGAGCCACGTGTATAACGAGAATCTGAACTCCGCCGCGTGGACGCGACGTCGGAGTTCAGCAACTTTAGCAACGGCGACGTAGCGGCGGGAGAAAGGGGGGAGAGGGGAGGAGGGGGAGGGGCACGAAGCATGCGAGGAGTGTTGAGGGAGAGCGCGACGAGTGCGACGCGCGCGACGAGTACGACGAGTGCGACGTGCGCGACGAGCGCGACGTGCGCGACGAGTACGACGAGTACGACGTGCGCGACGTGCGCGACGTGCGCGACGAGCGCGGGCACGGTATCGCGGGAGGTGATCGTCGGCACGGAGCGACGAGCACGGTAGCCTCTTACGTACACGCGGGAGGGTGGCAAGGGAAACAGTTCCGGAGTCTAACGTCTCAGTATAGCTCCAAATTCAATAGTTTTCTCACGCAACGTAGGCACAATCAACGCGAACCTGTACGCTTGAAAGAACTCGTGGATGTTGCATGCTATAACGATAACTGCGAGGGACAACCATGGTAGCGTACCAAACAAGGCAGCCCGAACCTGCTCGCCCGACGGGACACCTACTTGCAACGACTGGTCGAATATGGGAGTCGACACGTTTATGCTGCATCTTATCATGATGATTGCAAGAGACAACTATGGTAGGGTACCAAGCAAGGCAGCACCAACCTGCTCGCCCGACGGGACTCCGACTTGCAACGACTGGTCGAATATGGGACGCGTGCCGCCCTTGCGGACCGTCCTGGTCTGCTCACGAACGTGGGAATCGGGAAATCCGACACAAAAATTGACGCTACGCAAGCAATAATCCTTACGACGAGTTTCCTCTAAGCCTAAACGGCGAAAATGCAAGCTCGAAAAAAATCAGGTGAAGTCAAGGGAGTCGCACTTGGGAAGTGATTAACTGGTAAGCGGATGCAACGCTCCTATAAATACACGGAAATCGTGAATTGCTGGTAACTGGTCGTCGGTAAATAGATTCGTGTACCTGTAACACGGCACCGGAGAGCGGATCGAGCTCGCCGAATAAAAAACGAACGTAAACGTCCTGCTCGCCATAGTCACACAATGACGGGAGCCCTGCCGCGTAATGGACATGAACATCCAAAATTCCCGCCATGGATCGTCCACACGGCGTGGACCTTCCTCGAGAAGCCATTTTAACTAGCTTCTAGCTGGGAGCTTCTACTCTACGGATCCTTTTTCTCTGGATCAATAGCAGCTACAACCAATCAATCGTCCATGGTGGAAAAGCCAACCACTGAACAAGTTTCACAACCAGAGGCACGAAAACAATCTCGAGGTGTGAAAGCAAGTCTCTGGAAGATGCAAGTTGCGCTCTCAGCACGAGAGAGCGACGGAGAGGAGAAGGCTGAAGGCCAAAGAAGCAGGAGAGGGTCGAGGGGAAAGGGGCATGTTTTGGTGGGGCGCGGAAGTAGTTGATTGGCGGGGAGAAGTGGGGGAAGAGGGGTAAAGCAGGGCACTGTAGGGGTGAGGGGGGAAGGGGGTGGGGGAAAGGGGAGGAGACGGGAGAAGGGTCGAAGAAGCTGCGCGAGGCGGAGCGGCTGGGAGCGGAAGAACGGGGAACCGGGGGCAGTGGGGCACCGCTTGGGGAGGTATGGCGAGCGGAAGGAGGTCTGATGATGAGATGAGCATGGGGGAGATGAGTGGGGGAAAGGCCTCGATTGGAAATGACGCGGTGGGTGATTGGTGAGCGAAACTGTCAGGAAGCCCCATAGGAAACCGCAGTTTACAGTTTGGCGGGGGTGACCGGAACCATAAAATTCTTACTATTTTCCCTCCACAAAGCCGCCCAGAAAAGCAATATGTTTTCCTCCTCTTACTTTTTTTCACTCCACACTGTTCATGATTTTGGGAACAACTAACAAAAACACACTGAGAATTGCACATTTTGTTCATGCTGGCTTGAATATACGAGAATAGGGGAGTCTTCTGGGTGAAAATGGGCACACACTAAATAAATGACAGCCACTGCCGAGACGTGAACCACCGCTCGGCCTGAGCTTGCGTGGCATGGCGGACCGAAATTTCGAGGGGGAAGGGGGATGATGGGTGGCCGTGCTTGCGTCATGAGGTTGGGGGTTTTCAATCGATGGTGGCAGCACGAACAGTGGATCGAACAAGAATTGAATAGCGGGAGCACAAGTCATGACTCATGTGACTCACTCTCCCCCTACTTACCCGTTGGACCACGCCGGCGTCGCCTGGAGAAATCCTCCCGCCGGGCTTGCTGGAGCTCGTTCTGGGGTGCACCTGCCGCTAGACGCTTGGGTGTGTGGAGGAAGAATCTAGGAAAGCCCGGCGACGAGGGAAAGGAGAGGTGGGGCGACTGACACGCTGGCATGACAGTTGTCCAGCACTAACCATAGTTCTTCATGCGGCGGGCAGGTGTGCAACCAGCCAGCGCAATGAAACTGACGTGTGCTGCTGACGACTGGCGTAGAAACATAACATTCAGTTTGACGTGGTTTTGTTTCATCCTAAATGGTGATGATTGTGGCTGATCAATTTCATGCAAATCATGCTGGTACTTAGCTAATATCGCCGCCATTCACAACCACCGTCGTGTGGCACGAGCGCGAAGCATTCTGATCAACGATTCTGCGAAGAACCTTGTTCTGGGTCTATTCCACAATCAGGGCATTCATCCTGGAATATACACATACCAAACATAAATGGACATGCAGAACGTCATTGTCCGTTGTCTTCATCTGGGGTCACGTGCGGCTTTTTGTCACGCTGGACTAACCACCACTTCATCATCATGTTCTGCCGGGCCTCTAAATTGGACGAATGTACACTGCAAAAATTATCGTTAATGAAATGCTAACATTCATAAATAAAACTACAATAACTTCCGTTGCTGCATTCCAAAAGTTTTGGCTTCGTTCTTGCAATAAAACGAACTATCGAGGATAGCACTAGGGGTCAAAATAATAGTATGGTGTGAGCTAAGGCATGTGGTAACGCGCGAATGCGAGCTAGGCCACGCAATGCTGGCAGCGAGGCTCGGGCTAGTCCTGAATAGTAGGCCAACACATCCAGCGGTGCATGGTTTGGCTAAGTTAGCACGGTGTTGCTATAAAATGTATTTATATGTTTTCTTATATAATAACGAGTGCATGTGTTGTAATATCTGTTGGTGGTGCACCCTTTCGTTGGTTCTCTTTGACTGTGGTATTTCCCAACCCTATAATGAAACCCCTTCTTTCTTCAATCTCGTTCTCCTTTATCTCGCCAATCTAGCCCGACACTATCCTAAGCCATGGCTCCTAAGCTTAAGTCTTCATTCGTTTTCTAACATGGTATCAGAGCAATAACGCTCCTAGTGCTTGCAACTTTTTTTCCTATGGGCCCACCGTTATCCGCCATGGCGCCCTCCGTCGCGCTGCACGTCGCGCAGCTGCCGCCTGTCCCACTGCTTCCCGTCGCGCAGTTGCTGCCCGTCGCGCAGCTGCCGCCCGTCGTGCTTCCGCTGGTCGCGATGGCGAGCCTGCTGCGTCTGCCCGTCGCCGCCCCGTCACGCGTCGTCCCGTCGCGCCAAGGCCGCGGCCCCGTCCTGCAGCGGTCGCGAGTGCGTCTGCCGCGGTCGCAGCTGCTGAGCCTGGAGGTGGACTCACCCGCCCCCTCAACCCCCCCCCCGCACAGCAGCAGACGCGGGAGTGAGAGAGAGGAGGAGGCAATGGCGGCACCTGAGGGCGATAGCAGTGGACCGGCAGCAGTGGCTGCAGATCCACTCCCACACCCCTTTACTCTCCCCCACAGCAACATGCGCGGCAGGAGAGGAGGAGGTGCAGCAGCGGTTGATACTGCAGCTGGACTCACCCACCCCTTCAGATGTTGTGGCAGCGGTTCATGTAGGAATTTGCATTTTTCTCGACGGCCATCTTCATTTCCATCAGTCGCTGCAGGATTCGGCTTGAGAACACTGAATCCTTATGCCGGTACAGTCTGGCGAGGTACCTTCAGGCTTGAACTGCCAGAGCGGGGTCTGTTGCAGTTAATTGATTCGTGCCGATGGTGAATTTCCTCGGTTGCGATTCGTTGTCACGTAAAACCGGTTTGGAAACTGTTGAGAGGTTCCCGCATCGACATTCTTGAGTGATAGATTCCACCAGGACAGTGGCATTGACGGCCGCTGTTGCCGCCAAATGTGAAATTCGGTTGGTGGGGGCTTCGGCGATAGGAGCCGCTTGCACACCACGTCCTTTGGCGGGAGTGCGTAGTGGAGGCCAGATCGGATTCAATTTTGAATCAGAGGTGGGAGTGCGAAGAATCCTGAATGGATCACATACCATGTTACAAGCAGAGGTCTTTTATAGGATCGGCAAGATTGATCGCTAGGTGTAGCAGCAGAAGTGCTTTTTGATTGGTATGGGACCCTGCCAGTAATAATTTCAATCTTTACAATAGTGACTACAACTATGTTATACAAGGTTTAGGGAACAAATAGGAACACGAAGGGTCCTATCTAGCCATGTACTATAAAGGGTTACATTCTCTTCAAGGCTAATACAGACCTCGGTATCCATATGCGGCACGGTAACCGTCTGGATTTTACCGTGCATTACATTCAAATTCATGCTGCCGCAACCGTCTTCAACAACCGTCTTTGACCCTCAGCCTTCATCCTTGCATCGAGTGGCTGCGATGATCCGATTGTTATTTCAGGAATGTTATCTCAACATTTCCTTATGTAGGAGTTGCCATGATTCTTGCTGTGGTGCAGTTTCTTCTGGAATGCTTGCCAAATGTCTTTTATCGTAACAAAATGTGAGTGTCGTCTAAGATCATATGCATTGACGAATGTCGCATATGCTAAAGAGTTTGGATGACATGACCACCTTGCCAAATGCCTTTTATCGTAACAAAATGTGAGTGTCGTCTAAGATCATATGCATTGACGAATGTCGCATATACTAAAGAGTTTGGATGACATGACCACCGATTCCTAGTCCTATCATACCATGATTCTATTCGTTGCATACATACTTGTACACATAATGCAGCTATACAAGAAACCGAAAGAGAACAAAAGAGTGGGGGTGATAAAGGAAGCGAGTGAGAGTATGGCAGCAAGTTGACACTAGAAACTACAAGAACACAACACGTAGGGAACACACCACGACAAACCCTCTAAGATTCACCCAACAGCGACTCAGCCTCTACACCCGCATATCCACACAGTAGAGCGAATCTGTCCATGGAGCGTCCCACCCAACGTCCTGCTCGATATCCTCCCGCTCCACCCAAATAACCTCCGGGCTCCTCATCATCTACGCTAGCAGGAACACGCGCGCCTGGGCTCACTTCGAAACCACCCCTACAACAACCCTAAGTGGTCCGAGCATATACGCCGAAAGTCCCTTTCCGATATCCCTCCCTCCCCCCCTTTCGACTTCGCTACCTCAAGTTGTACGTCGCTCTGTTTCTTAGGCCACCGCCCGAATCTCCTCCCAAGCAACCCCAGGTTTCTGCAATGAGGGGGTGAACCGCACTCCCCTATGCTGCTGCAAGAGGGGTTCGTAATTCGCCGCCTTTCACTTTTCTCTCTCCTTGGCGACAAAACTCACCTTGCAGCCAATCAGCCCGCGCCGGCAAAGAGATGGGGTCAACAACGCTGACCTCAAGCGCATGCGCCTCCCCATTCCCAGTCTCCAAACCGCCACATACACCTTCTTCCCCAGAAGCAACAAGTCGTCCTCGATTGTTACCACCCCTCCCGACCCCGTAGCTATCCTGGCCAGCACGAACTTCACCGCGTCATGGACTCGTGAATGGGCGTACTGATGCTTACAGCGGAGGGCATGATGAGGGTTAGAAGGATCAGCAAACTCGGCCCCACAAACACATTTGCCAGAAAGCATCAGCTGTTGGATAGAGAGGCCGAGACGCATGGCGGCACAAGTGCTCCACTCAGCTGCAGTGAAGTCAGCCTCGTCATGCAGTAACATTAGTCACGGCAGTTGCAGCAGCGGCGGGTGCAGGCGACGGTAGGTGGGCGTGAGAGCAGGCGCTGTGGTTGCAACGAGCAGCAGGACAGCACGGCTCAGCACCTCTGGGGGCGAGCTAACAACAGGCAGCAGCAGCACGAAATAACGAGAGAACGAGAGAACGAAAGGCAAGTAGGCGGGGCATGAGGAGGAGATGAGAGGAGGAGGAAGAGTGAGACAAAGATGTGCAGCGGAAGAAAGAGAGGGAGGGGCAGCTGCCTTCACATACCCGCCACCCCCACACCCTCTCCTCTCCCCCCCAACGCGGCACGCACAGCATGTGCAGTAGCTACGATGAGAGGAGGAAGAGGGAGGGGCGGGGGGGGGGGGGGAGGGGGAGGGTTCAAGGGAGCTTCAGCACCCCCGCAGCCTCGGCTGCCAATCCCGCACCCCCCCACCCAAGCGTCCGCCATAGTAGGGCGCAGCAGAGAGAAGGCCGGTGAGCGGGATGGCGCTGGTGGGGGCGCCAACGAACTCCGTTGGCGCTGGCGCGGACGGTTGTCGCTGTCGTCCCGCCACCTCCTGCCCGCCTTCCTCCCCCGCACAGCAACCGCCCCCGCATGTGCGCAGGGTCGGGACGGGTGGGGAAACGCAGGGGGGGGGGTGGCCGCAGGGGGGGCGACGAGGCAGCGGGGTCCGCGCGACTTATGGTAGAGGCGTGGCGAGGCCGCGACGGGGCGACGAACGGGGCCGCTGACGACCAGCGCCAATCGCGCCGCGCTGGTCGTCGTGACCTGCTTCCCGTTGGTCATGACGTGACGAGCATGGCGCAACTGGGGCAGCAGGGGCGACGTGGCGAGTTGCATGCGGGCAAGCGGTGGGCCCATTTCAAGAAAACGAAAGAGGTCCGCGGGACGGACCTGCTTTGGATACCATGTCGAGATACCTATGTTAGGCTAGGAACTTAGGACGAGGGGGTTTAGCCATATCGAGAGTAAGGAGAGGGAAGATTGGCCAAAGAGGGGTTTCACTAAGAGAAGCGGGAGTACAAATAGGCAAAGGCAAGCAAATGATGTAACACTACAGAGTAGCTACACTATCAGGCAGTTATATGAAATGTATAATTTATAACAGAGACCCACGCTCTCATCCCCGGGCCTTGAAGGGATGTCAAACGTGCCAAGGTGGAATCATCGTGGGCCATGCCTCGGAGAGACTGCAGACTCTCAACCGCCAATCGACGGTGCTGCGCAGGGAAAGGCAGCAGTGGGGGGTCGGCGGTGCACAACGCGAGAGGCGGCACCTCATGCCGAATCGATTGTGGGAGTAGCTCCACTGCTCTTGCGAACCAAGGATCCAGCACGGTCGTAGCCTCAGGCGATCATACCATGATCGTGATTCATCGGGGGAATAAAACCAAACTCTTTTGAAGGAGTCAAAATGCAGCTCACATGAGAGCATCACATGGCCTGATCAAACTTTAGCAAGTGACATGTTAGCGGAAGGTGGTTTGCTAGTAAAAGCGGAGCAGGTACTAAAGGGATATGTTGTGTTGCTGTTGGTGCAGCTCGGCAGCAGCATCCCCAAGACAGGCACAGCACAGGACGACAGTCAGGCGACAGTTGCTCAGTTCGATCATGCGGTGTGCTGAGGGTCGAGTCGCTTCCACGACCCGCCCGCGAACCTTTTCCCGAAATATGGCTTGTCTGGGATTGGACGACGAGGAAGACAAGCGCGCAACGGAAATAAACACCGGAGTAGGAAATCTAGGCGAATAAAGAGGTGGAGTTAGAACCGGGCGCTGCGACTAACGGCGAAGGCCAGAGCAGAGCGAAGATGGAGAATAGAGAGGAGGAGCTGAAGAGTAAAGGGCCAGAACCGAGAAGTGATGACGCAGAACCGAGGAGAAAAGAGGCAGAACCGAAGAGCAGAGAGGCGAAGGTGGAGTTCGACATCGATATTGACGCGCTTCTGGCGGCGGCGAGCGACGACGACGAGCTGGATGACGTGGACGACCTCGAGGAGGGCCTGTGGGGCGGACGCAGCCTGGAGGAGATCCTGAATGACGTGTCAGATGACGACGATGACGTGGCAGGTACTGGTGTCGAAAGCTTGAAAACTACACCGGAATTGGACGTTTTTGTTCAGAATACGACAGCTGAAGCAGCAGTTCTGTCTTCTAACGGGGATAGCAGTCCCTCTCTGACGGTGTCTCGTTTGGAATCAGCCTCCTCTTTGATAGGAAACCCGACAGTCACTCTAAGCCCCTCTTCGGCCGCGTCCTATGGCTCGTTGCCACGTGGCCCTGGTGGATCAGGAAGCCCTGGAAGCCCTCAGTCATTGGACGGTCGAGATCTGTCGTTCGGGCAGTGGGAAAACGGCGGGATTGGGTTGAACCAGGGAAAGGGGATTGAAGCCGCGCAGAAGCCAGATGTAGGCGCGGAAATCACGGATTTGAAGGGAGGGAATTCAAATTTTGTTTCGTTTGAAGCCATACTGAGACCGCCTAATGGTGAAGATGAGCTCTTGGAAGAGGGGGCAAGGAGGGAGAAGGAGCAAGGGGAGGCGGAAACAGGTGGAGAGGGGGAGGAGGGCGAGGGGAAGGAGGGAGAGGGGATGCAGTGTGATGTGCGGGAGCCGTCTTTCGGGCAGTGGAAGGGGAGTGATAATAAAGGGAGTGTCATTAAGGGGAGTGACAGTAAGGAGAGTGTCATTAAGGGGAGTGACAGTAAGGAGAGTCTCATTAAGGGGAGTGACAGTAAGGGAGGTGTGATTATGATGAGAGAGATTCGTGACACAATTGAAGGGGACGAAGGGGTGACAATTAGCAGAGCAACCCAGCTGCAGCAGCAGCAGCAGCAGCAGCAGCAGCAGCAGCAGCAGCAGCAGCAGCAGCAGCAGCAGCAGCCACCAGTTACACACATGCCAGGAGGGGGAGGAGGAAACGAAGCACAAGGGGAGGCACGAGGAGGTAGGGAAAGGGCAGTAGCGGCAGCAGGAGGAGAGACCGGAAGAGAGAGCGAGAGAGGAGGAGGAAGAGGAGGAGGCGAAGCACAAAAAGAGGTAGGAGAGGACACAAGAGCAGCAAGCTGGGTGAATGCAGTAGGTTCGGCATCCATAGACAGCCCCCGAAGCTCGGGAAGCGCAGGCACGGGCAGCAGCTTCGGTGATTTGTCTGTTGTGAGCGGGAACTCCTGCCCTGTGAGTGTGCTGGGTGGGCGGGGCAGTGCGGCGGCCCTATCTGGCGCGGGGAGCAGCGGGGAATCTGCTTTTGGCGGATCAGCCTTTGGAGGGTACGGAGGAGAGAGCATGGAGGGAAGATTGCACAGGCACGAGCAGGGGCATGCACATGGGCATGGGCACGGGCATGGGCAGGGGGTTGGGTTTGGGAGTCGGTATGGGCATGTGAGTCGATCACGAGGGGGGGTGCCTAGGATCAGACCAGGAGCAGCCTTTGCTGCAGCAGAGGTGGCAGCAGCTGCAGCGGCGCAGCGCCGAGCCCTCTTGACCCAGGCTCAGGGGCTAATAAGCCAAGGAGGTTCCTCTTCTCTTTCCGCTTCTCATGCCACTTCTGCTCTTTCCGCAGTCTCCGCATCTTCTGCTGCTTCTGCTGCTGGCACGGTTGCTGTTCCAGCTGCTGCAGTAGTAGCAGATGAATCTGCCAGTGGGGCATCAGACGGCTCTGCAGGTGTAGCTGGGCCAGCAGAGATGACTTTTGAGTCGACTCAAAAGCCAGCTGCAGCAGTAGCAGCAGATGAATCTGCCAGTGGGGCATCAGACGGCGCTACAGCTGATTTTCAGCCAGCAGCAGTGGCAGCTGCTACAGCAGCAGCAGCAGCAGCAGCAGAGCCAGTGGGCTCGGTGGCAGCTGAAACGCCAGCAGCAGTTTCTTCTGTGGCAGTGGCACCTCACGCTGCTGATGTGGGTGCTGCTGCTGGTGCTGCTGCTGGCGTTTCTGCTGCTTCTGCTGGCGTTTCTGCTGCTGCTGCTGCTGGTGACTCAGCTGCTGCTGATAGCTCTGCTGCTAGCACCAATGGTGCTGCGGGTGCCATTGGCAGTGGTGGTTCTGGTGCTGGTGCGACTGCTGGTGATGCTGGTGCAGCTGATGGCGCTGGTACTGCTGGTGCAGCTGATGGCACTGGTACCGCTGGTGCAGCCAGGGCTGTTGGAGATGACAACGGGCAGCGGGAGGCAGAGGATAAAGCGAGGGACGGGGAGGAAACGAGCCAAGAGGTGGGAGATGGGAGCATCGGCACAGGGGTGAGTGGGAGTGGTGACATAGTCGAGAAGGAAAAAGAGGAAGTAGTTGAGGTGGAGGAGAAAGAGGAAGAAGGGGAAGAAGAAGACGAGGAAGAGGAAGAGGAAGAAGAATTGGACGAGGAGGAAGAGGATGAGGAGGTGGAGTGGGATGGAATGCAGGAGGAAGGGAAGGAAGGTGAAGCAGCCCTGGCGGGTGAGTTTCAGAGCCTGCAGAGCTTCTGGGTTGCCCCACTTCCTTCCTCTGCCTCTGCCTCTGCCTCTGCTGCTGCTTCTGCCAGTGCTGCTGTTGATGGCGCTGCTGCTGCTGCCACTGCTACTGCCGCTGGTGCTGCCTCTGCTGCTGCCTCTGCTGCTGGGGAGGAAGAGGAGGGGGGGAAGGAGGAGGGAGAAGGGAGGGATGAGCTTGCAGCTATGGAAGAGAAAGAGAGGCTGCAGCTGCTGGTGGGGTGGAGGAAGAGTGAGGAAGGGCAGGACGGGGTGGTGAAGGAAGGAGGGTCAGTCGAGGGCACAAACGCCACAGCAGCAGCAGAAGCAGGAGCAGCAGTAACAGAACCAGCAAAACCATCACCATCGACAGCAGCAGCACCATTTAGTGGTTTGGCAGTAGAGGCAAGGCAAGGGGGGGGAGAAGGAGGGGTAAGAGGAGGAGGGGGAGGGGAGAAGGGGGAGGGGGTAGCGGAGGAGGTGACAACGGGAGAAGTGATGATGGTGACTGATAAAGTGCTGCTGCTGGTAAGGCTTTGCTCTTGAGACTCTGTGTTGCTTGTGAGATCTCAAAAGCAACTCCAACATACCGGAGGAGGTGACAACGGGAGAAGTGATGATGGTGACTGATAAAGTGCTGCTGCTGGTAAGGCTTTGCTTTTGCAAATCGGTGCTGCTTTTGAGAATTCTCAAAAGCAACACCAACATACCAGAGGAGGTGACAAGACAACGGGAGAAGTGATGATGGTGACTGATAAAGTGCTGCTGCTGGTAAGGGGTCCGTGTGAGTTGTTGGTAAGGGGTGCAGAATCGTGTGTTGTTATGTTGAAAGCGGGGCACACACACGTTTCAGGAGAGCAAACAGACGTGCTCTCTCCACCTGCTGCTGCCCCCTCCCCCCCCCCCCCCCCCCCCCCCACCCAACTGCACTACGTTGCTAACCCAACTGCACTGCCCTGCACTGTGCTGGCACACTCTATCCCCCTCCCCCTGCGATTCTCCCCTCTCGTCCATCCCTGACCTCCCCCCCCCTCCTTCCTTCCATGCGTCCTCCCAACTGCACTGCCTTATCTTACGCTGCTTGTGAGGCGCCTCAAAAGCCTCGCGTGTTGCCCCCCTGCTCTCCCCATCCACAGGTCCAAGTCCTCCCGAAGTTCGCCCCCATATGCACACTCGACCTGCTGCCATACGCCCTGGACCCCAACAGCACCGCCCTGCCCTACGCTGCCTGGCGCTGGGGGCTCTCCTTCCGCCGCGCCCCTCCCCCTCCCTCCCCGCTCCACAAACCCGCCGCCTCCCGCCTCGTCCCCTCCTCCTCCACCCCCTCCTCCTCGTCCTCTTCACCCCCCTTCTCCTCCTCGTCTCCCTCCTCCTCGTCTCGAGTGAATCCCTCTGTTCCCACGCCTCTGGTGCTCCCTCGCGCATCTGCTAGCGCCAGCACCAGTGGCAGCGGCAGCAGCACGAGCACCCGTGGGGGAAGAGAGGGCGGGAGAGGGAGCAAAGGGGTTGAGCCAGGGTTCGGTGGTAGTGGGATGGGGACAGGGGAGGGGAGCAGGGGTGGCGGAGAGAGGGCTGGTAGTGGGGGCAGTGGGAGGAGTAGGGTGGATGGAAGGGTACGAGGAGGAAGTGTTGACTCGGCATCATCGGCTTCACCCCGGTCATCCCCACCACCACCATCAGCAGCAGCTGGAGGAGCAGCAGCAGCGGGGGGAGGAGCAGCAACAGGGGGGGGAAGAGGAGGGGGAGCAGCAGGAGGGGCAGCAGCGAGGGGGCCGTGGGTGCAGGAGAAGGTGTTTGCGCTGGGGTGGGGGCGGGTGGTGCTGGTGGTGAGTGTGTTTGGGCGAAGCATGGAGGTGATTCACCGCTGGGATGTGCACTCCACTGTCGCTGGCCTCGCATGGCTGGACCACCAGGTGAGACCGTGAGGCAATGAGGCCTTGCATGGTATGGCATGGCATTGGCTGGAAGAAACCACAGGGTTTGTTGGACAGGGGCATAGCATGGTCATGGTGAAGCATGGAGGTGATTCACAGCTGGGACGTGCACTCCACTGTGGCGGGCCTCGCATGATTAGACCACTAGGTGAGGCGGTGGGTATTGAATCAGGGCGGGCATGGGCATGGGCATGGGCATGGGCATGGGCATGGGCATGGGCATGGGCATGGGCATGGTCATGAGGGCATGCTGCATTGCACACACCAGCATAGACCAAGTCACTTGGCCTCATGTTTCTACTGTCCTTGCGTGCAGCCTTCCGTCTTTTCTCGATCTTCATCCCTCCCCCACTACCTAACCCTTCCATACTCCCCTAACTACCTCTCGCTGCCCTTTCTTCCTGCTCTCGCCTCACATCAGGTTCTCCTCATCCTCACAGCCTCGGAGCACTTTTGTCTTTTCTCGCTGGGCGGCCAGCCAATCAAGCGCCAGCCCTTGCTACACTACGACTCGGACTCAGATTACAGCAGCTACAGTGCCGCCGGCCACGGCCGTTTCGGCCTGGTCTTCCACCCCTTTTTGTCTCGTAGCGGCCGCCCGATCCCCTCGTTCCAGAACAGCGTCGCTGCCTGGAGCAGCGGGGCGGCGGCGTTTGTCCTCTTGCAAGGGGGCGGCATGGTGGTGCGGGCGCACCTGCTGTCATGGAAGGAGAGAATCAAATCTCTGGAAGCGGCCGGCGACTGGATGAATGCGCTGCACACTGCAATGGAGATATACCAAGGGAGGGCGGTGGGCATAACAGGGTTACCATGCGACCCGGACGAGCTAGCAGCAGAAATGGGGGCTCTCCTCTTAGCATACATAGAGCAGGTGTTCTCGTACTTAAAGCAAAGCGCAGCAGCTCTTACCCCGAAAACACTTAGCCCAGCGGTACTTAGCCCGGCGATTCTAAGCCCCGTAGCTCTCAGTCCTGTAAATGCCAGTCCTGAATCATCACCCCGCCACCCAAGCTCGTCTGGGAATCATGCAAGTGCATTTGAAGCTGAGGGCTCTGACTTCGCAAGAGCAGCAGCTGCAGCAGCAGTGGCTGCGGCGGCGGCGGCGGCAGCGGCAGAGGCAGCAGGAGGGGAGCAGAGGGAGGAGTATGTGCGGGTGGGCGGGGTGGCGATCGAGTTCTGCATCCGCGTGTGCCAGCTGCCCCTGCTGTTCGGGGCTGTGTTTGACAAGTTCACTCAGAGAGGGCAGCGAGGTGAGAGGGGGTAGTGTAGGGTGGTGGGAGGGATAGGGGGAGGGGCTATGCAGGGGCAGGGGCAGGGGCAGGGGCAGGGGCAGGGGCAGGGGCAGGGGCAGGGGCAGGGGCAGGGGCAGGGGCAGGGGCAGGGGCAGGGGCAGGGGGCAGTTGCAGGGGCATGGGCAGGGGCATGGGCAGCGGCAGAGGCAGAGGCAGCGGCAGGGGAGCAGAGGGAGGAGTATGTGCGGGTGGGGGGTGTGGCGATCGAGTTCTGCATCCGTGTGTGCCAGCTGCCCCTGCTGTTTGGGGCTGTGTTTGATAAGTTCACCCAGAGGGGGCAGCGAGGTGAGAGAGGGGGTAGGATCCTGAGTTCTCACGAAAACAGACATCCCACTTCTTTCTCTTCCCTTCCCCTCCCTCCCCACCGCCTCGCACTGCTCTGCTCCCTGCTAGTATATTCCTGGAGCTACATCCTCACAAAGACGACATTTGAGCACACCGGTACATACATCCCACATCTTTCTCCTCCCCACCCACCCACCCACCCACCCACCCACCCACCCACCCACCCACCCACCCACCCACCCACCCACCCACCCACCCACCCACCCACCCACCCACCCACCCACCTACCCCCTGCTTCTGGTGCGTGTCTGCAGGCATCTTCCTGGAGGTACTGGAGCCCTACATCCTCACAGAGATGTGACATGTGACTCCACGCACAGCACTCATACATACTTACTTCCCCCCACCCCCTCCCCGCGCCTCTGCTCCCCGCAGGCATCTTCTTGGAGCTCCTGGGGCCATACATCCTCACAGACCACCTCGTCATAGCGCTGACTTTCTGAGTCCACTTGTACACCCCTCAAATCTCTCTCTCCCCTCTTTGCCCTGTTGCTGCTCCCTGCAGGCATTTTCCTGGAGCTCCTAGAGCCATACATCCTCACAGACCACCTCAGCACGCTCCCTCCTGAGGTAAGACCTGCCTCCATGCATCTGTGCGTGGGAATGAAGTGAGGTATCACCTGCTTAGATGTACCTTCGCTCAGAGTTGAGATTGGGCCAGATGGAGGAACCGCCTCCGCATGATCCTTTCTGGACGTAACACCTGCCTAGATGCACCTGTGTTTGTTAACCTTGACAATACGGTCTCACCAGGTACGGGAGGCATGCGCTAGTGGAATACCGGGAATGGGAGGGAACATTAGTTTTTGAGAGTGCCTGGTGATGGTATAGGTGCTTTGTTCATGCATGCGCATATGTGCGCCCTCGTAAACTCTGGTGAAGATGGTCTGTCTCTGACCCTCTGTGTGTGCTCTCTTCTCCCCTCCCTGGCACCCCTTACCAGGTGATGCAAGCGCTAGTGGAGCATTACAGTGAGAGGGGGTGGCTGTCACGCGTGCAGCAGTGTGTGCTGCACATGGATATCGCCTCGCTCGATATCAACCAGGTGTGATTGATCTCTTTATTTTGCATGTGTGGGTTCTCTAGCACACTGCTACCCTTCCAACCATGAGTGACGGCGATGGGTACGTGCAGCAGTGTGTGCTTCACATGGACATCGACTCACTCGACATCAACCAGGTGCGATTGATCTCCATCTGCGAGGGTAGCGTTTCTGCACGAGTCGGTTCTCTACCAACCAATGAGTGATGGCGATGCGTGCAGCAGTGCGTGCTCACATGGACATCGCCTCGCTTGACGTCAACCAGGTGCGAACTCAGCCCCCTCCTTTGATTCGTCTTTGAGACTTCTCAAACTCGTGCAGCAGTGCTGCACCACCTGGTTGACGTCAGGTGTGAACTCAGCCTCCTTTGATTGATTGGCCTTTGAGATTTGTCAAATGTGTGCAGCAGTGCGTGCTGTACTGCACATGGACATTGCCTCGCTCAATGTCAGCCAGGTTTGGTTCGGCCCCTAGAATGTGCGAAACGAAACAACAGTCCGTTCATACACATGCACCCACGCCCACCCATTTATTATTCCCCCTTTCTCTGCACACCCCCTTCCCCCCATCTTTATCGCTCCCAGGTGGTGCGCCTGCTCCGTCAACACCCTTCTCTCCCATGCACACACCCTTCCATGCCTTTTTTTCCCTTTCTCTCCGCCTTTCCTCCCAGGTGGTGCGCTTGTGCCGTCAACACAGCCTGCACTCTGCCCTCATCTACCTCTTCACTCGCGCCCTCGCGGATTTCGTCTCGCCAGCCCAGCAGCTCCTCTCCACCCTCCTCGCCTCCTCCTCCTCCTCCATCTCCTCCTCCTCCTCCACCTCCGGAACTCACAGCAGTGGTTCGGGGGGGGAGAGGAGTCGGGAGAAGCAGAGGCATAAGAAGCAGGAGGGGGAGAATAAAGAGGAGAGGGAGGAGGGCCGGCAGTGCGGGTGAGTTGGCCCTTCATCAGCTCGTGACTTCAATTACTGGAAACAAGAGCAGTTTGTGTGAAAATAATGAATTTTGAGTGACTCCAAAAGGCTCCTCGTAAGCAGCTTGTTACTTTAATGACTAGAAAGAGAGGTTTTTGTGGAAAGTGACATGTCATTCTACACCTTTCTCACATCTCTCCTTTGCCTACTCCCTCTTTCGATTTCCCTCCCCGCTCGTCCTATCCCTCTTGTCCTTCTCTTCTACTCTCTCCCCCCACCTCAGCTACCGCCTGCTGCTCTTCCTCAAGCTCACCTTCTCCAGCCTCAACTTCCCTCCAGGTAAAATCACCTGCGTGCTTCTCTACTTTGTTTCCTTTTTAGGCGTCCCAAGAATCAACTTCCTTTCAGGAAGCACCCTGTCTGCTTCTTGTTCTCTGGTCTTCGAGGTCAACTTCTTGCGTTGCAAAATTGCAAAATTCTCTCCTGTTCGCTGTGGTTCTTTTGTGGTGACTATTCAGTCTCGTACTGTCTCTTAGTCCCTTGTACCCCAATCTTGCAACGGGAGGAGAGATGGACTTGTCCAGATGTCCCTCTGGACAAGTCCATCTCTCCTCCCATTGCCCATCCTCACAGGCAGTGGCACCATCGCCCCATCCCTCCTGCCGTCAGCCCAAGCCAAACTCTTCAACTTCCTCCTCAAACCCCACCGCCCTTGTTGCTCTCTGTCTGTATCACCCCCCACCTCCCCCCCTCCCCTTCCCTCCCATTACCCACCCTCACAGGCAGTGGCGCAATCTCCCCGTCTCTCCTACCCTCAGCCCAAGCCGAACTCCTTAACTTCCTCCTGAAACCCCACCGCCCACCCCACCACCGCTCTGCCTCTCTCTCCCCCTCCTCCCACGCCCTCCTCTGCTCGCCCCTCGCTCGCCTTCTTTCCTTCGATCCCCGCGCCACACTTTCTGTGCTGCGCGTGATTCTCCGCTCTGTGTCCATACTGGATCAGCCACAAACGAGTACAGAGCAGCCCATAACGAGCGAGGATTCGACGCTGGTGAATGGTAGGGGTGCGGGTGCAGCTTATAACGAGGATGCTACTGTAGATCCAGCCGCTGGTGGTAGACTTGTTTATACTTTACTAGAAATAGTTCGCTCCTGGTGCGAGGCTGCGGATGCAATAAGGAGTAACGAGGACTCCAATAAGGGAGGAAACGACACTGTAGCTGTAGGTTCGGATGCAGGCTCGGAACATGGCTCGGATGTAGGTCTGGGACTAGGCTTGGGCTTAGACAGGCTCGGGGATGCAGCAGGCAGGGTGCTCGAGCTCGTGGCAGAGGCGGCAGCAGCGGGGAAAGTGGAGCTAGACCGAACCTCCCTTAACACAATCTTTGTGTATCTTACATCTGCGACTGTCACCTTTGATCTGCACGCCCTGCCCACTGCCTCTGCCACTGATGGTGCTGATGCTGATGCTGGTGCTGGTGCTGATGCTGGTGCTGGTACTCCTGCTGTGAGTAAGGGAGCTCTGTCCGCTGCTTCTCTAGGCTCCTCTATCCCAAAGCTCAAGGAGACTGTACAGAAGAAACGTTCCTCCTCCTCCACCTTGTCACCCGCCTCTTGCACTGCGCTCGCTCTCCCTTCCCCCTCTGTGAGACGGGCTCAGAGGGAGGAGCGGATGGAGGCGCTGGTGATGGCTCTGCCCGGCTCCTGTGGTGTGGATTTCAACGCTCTCCTGCCCCTGGCGCTGCAAGCAGGCTTCCACCAGGTGAGCTGACCGAAGGGCTGTTGTATGATGGGCAAAAGGACAGCAGCCGGAGGGAGGAGCGGATGGAGGGGCTGGTGATGGCTCTGCCGGACTCCTGCGGTGTGGACTTCAATGCTCTCCTGCCCTTGGCGCTGCAAGCAGGATTTCATCAGGTGAGCTGGCTGCTGGGCTGTACTGTGATGGGCATGGGGATAGGATAGGAGCCGGAGGCAGGAGAGGGGACGGAGGGGCTGGTGATGGCTCTGTCGGACTCCTGTGGGGTGGACTTCAACGCCCTGCTGCCCTTGGTGCTAAACTCGGGTTTTCACCAGGTGAGTTGGCCGTTGCTCTGTGCTGTGATCGGCAAGGAAACTGGATACCGATTGTTCCTATTATCTTACTCCAACTCTCCTTCTCCCTCCCCGCCACCTCCCTTCCCAACCAGGTGTGTGCGCGTCTATTCATGCGAACACACGGCATGCTCGGCATACACCAAGCGCTCTCCTCCCTCCTCACAGACTCCCACCACCCCGACATGCCCTTCCGCCTCATCCAAAAGGCAGCCCTCGCTCTCACCCGTAGGCACGGGGTGGTGGGTGGGGAGGAGGGTGCTGCGCTGCGATTGGCCGTCCGACGCCACCTGGCGCAGCTGGTGCGGCTGGACGGCGGCACTTGTCTGTATGTGGCGCTGGGGCTGCTGCGTCTGGATTTGGATTTGATTGTGAGTGCAGATCTCGCCGGCCGGCCACAGCTGCAGTTTGCCCTGCTGCGATCCCTCTTCTCGTCCCATTCGCATCCTCCTCCTCCTCCGCTTTTGCTGCTCCCATTGCTGCCGGCACCGGCAGGTGTATCAGCATCAGCAGGCCCTAAAGCAACATCAGAAGTTCCAAAAACAGCAGCAGGGAAAGGAACAGCAGCTGCTGCTGCTGCTGCTGCAGCACCACTGCAAGCAGGATCAGAACGAGAAGGAGGGGATGATGGGTTGGGGATGGAGGGATGGGAGGAGCAGAGGAAGCAGCTAGCAGCAGCAGCATCCCCACGAATGGTAGAGCTTTATATCGAGCTGCTCTGTATCTACGACCCTCTCGCCCTGCTGCCCTTCCTCCAATCGCCTCTCGCCACCTGTCGCCTCGACCGCTGCCTCCGCGTCTGCCTCGCGCACATCTCCCCGGCGCTCGCCGCGCTGCCACGTCAGCCCATGCCAGGTCAGCAGTCCGGGCCTCCACAGGTGCCACGTCAGCAGGCGGGGGGAGAGCCAGTCCTGAACTGCCACATCAGCGCTGCGGCACGGGTGCTGCTGGAGCGAATGGGGTTGGTTTATGAGGCGCTGGCCCTGCTGCTGGTGGAATTGCACTGCTGCTTGCGAGCTCTGGATAGAGGGGTTGCTGGGATGATGATGAAGGCGAGGAGGAAGAAGAGGAGGATGGAGGTGATGGGGAGGAGTATAGCGGGGACAATGGCTGAGGGGTCTGAGAGTGAGGCGGGGAGGAGGGGAGAGGGTGAAGGTGGTGGTGAAGTGAGGGCTGTTCCGAAGGGAAGATCGGATCTAGAGCATAGAGAAGAGGAAAGGAAGAGGAGGAGGAGGATGAGGAGGAGGATGAGGAGGAAGGAGAGCGGCGGGTTGATGACACAAGTGCTGCAGATGGAAGAGGTGGGTGAGAGATCTGTCGCTTACACCGCATGTCACAACCTTTGTCACGCCACATCGTGCGAGTTTCATTACATATCACGCTGTGCAATGCTGTCATATCACACGCCGTCCCAGGTGCTCATGCTGCTGCCCATCCAGCAGACCTCTCTGATGCCTCTCTGTGCCTTCGTCAAGCCTTTTGAGGCGCCTTTGAGGCGCCTGCAATGAGGTGTATTTTGAGGCGCCTCAAAGCAGACCTCTCTGATGCCTCTCTATGCCTTCTTCAAGCCTTGCCCGTCTCACCCTTCTCCCGTCTGCCCCTCTCACCTACTCCATCTCTCCCCTTCTATCAGGTGCGAGTGCTACTAGCCATACAGCACGAGGCACTGGCTCTCTGTGCGCGCAGCACGGCCAGGCTGCCTCACTGGCAGTGCCGTGCCATGTGGCGAACCCTCCTTGACTGGTGGGTGGCAGGGTGTGTGAGCGTTGGGAGTGGGGGAGACGAATGATTGGGTTCAGGTGTTACTGTGTAGTGGTGCCAGCAGCAGGTATCTGTGCGCGCAGCACAGGCAGGCTGCCTCACAGGCAGTGCCGTGCTATGTGGCGAACGCTGCTTGACTGGTGGGTGTGAGGGTGAGGGATGGGAGAGTGAGAAGAGGGGTCATGACTGATTTGAGAGTGAGAGGCAGGGGTGGTTGGGGGGGGATTGGGGGTGGTTGGGTCAGTGTGTGTGTTATGGGGGGGGCGCGAGGAGGGGCAGTTGTTTGTGTGTTTCGCTATCCTGACTTGCAAGTGCCCACCTTGTGTGTTTGTTGTTTTGGTCGACCCTTATCAAGTCAGAGCAATTCAGGGCCCTCCCCATTCATCCCTGTCTGTATCGTCATCCATTCCCTTCCTGCCCACCATCGACCCCACCTTCTTCCTTTCTACTCGTTTCTCCTCCCCACACTGCCCCCCCCTCCCTCCCTTTCCCCCATTCCCTCCCCCCCAACAGCTTCCTCCTCCCCCTCAGGGCCCTCCCCATTCCATCTGCTCCTCCAGCCATTACACCTGCACACCCCTCCCCATCACACGCGCCCCCCAACCGCTGGCATTCGCTCTACTCACACCTTCTTACAGTCACAGGGGCGTCTGGCGCAGCAGCGGCAGGCAGGAGCGGGGTGCAGTTCCCTGCAGGTGATTCCTCAGGTGATTTTTCAGGTGAAAACGGACAGCAGGTGGTTGCTCCGTCTGTGCTGAGCTCGTTTCCAGCCCCGTCTCTGCCACCTTCGGTCTTCCCTCCTCCTCCTCCCCCGCTCTTCGCCTCCTCCAGCTGTCACGCGCTTTTGCTGCTTCGGGAGCAGCAGCAACAGGAGAGAGATGGGGATGAGGAGCAGGAGCAGCAGCAACAGCAACCGCCACAGCAGCAACAGCCGCAGGAAAAGCAGCAGCGGCGGCGGCAGGAAAGCGGTCCGCAAGCTTCCGATTTGATTCTGTTTGCCGTCCGGTTCCTGCTACAGTGCTGTGCAACAGCCACTGTAGCAGAGATGGCAGGGATGGTACCTCTGCCAGTCATTGCCGCTTGGCTGCTTGGTGCTGGCGATAGGCAGAGAGACGGGGAAGGGGGACGAGATCTCATGAAAGGAGGTGAGGAAGGAGGGAGAGATCTATTGCAGGCTATGATTTCTCACGACTCTCAAAAAGCAACCATAAGGGATACAGGGGTGAGCGACGGCTGGGGTATGGGGTCGGACGAAAGGGGGACGAGGATGGGCGGAGACAGGAGGGAGGGGGTATCGAGGACAGCAGGGGACGTGGTGGGAGGGCTTCTGGAGATTTTAAGCTGGGCAGGGTCGGACCAGCAGCTTTTGGCTGCTGCTTCCCGGGCAGCCAATACAGATTCTTTCTCCCACTGCTCCTCCCTGCTCTCCCTTCTGCAGCACCCCATCCGTCCCTCCTCCCGCTCCTGCCGCCTATGCTCCACTGCCCTGTACGCCCCAGCTTCAACTGCTAAAGGAGCAGCAGCACCACCACCACCATCCCCGCTGCTGCTACCACGATTGCCAGCCACAGCAGCTGCAGCAGCAGCAGCGTTATCAGCCGCAGCTGCAGCCGCCGCCGCAGCAGCAGCAGCAGGGAAGAGATCAGCAACAGCGGGTGCACCAGTGGAGGTGTTTCTGTGTGGGCACGGGTTTCACAGGGAGTGCTTGCAGCGGCGCCAACAAGACAGCTTCTTCTTCCCTCCCCCTCACCAGTGCCCTGCCTGCGGCGCCTCTGCCACCCGCCTTGCCCCCTCGCACCTCTCCTCTCCCGCTGCTCCTCCTGCTGCCATTGCCGCCTCTTCTGCTGCTCATGCCGCCAGTTCTGGTGCTCTAGGTGCGCCAGTTCTGGGTGGGGGCAGTGGGTTGGCTGCTGCTCTGCTGGAGGCAACAGAGGAGAGGGATGGAGAGAGGGGAGGGGCAAGAGGGGCGTCGATAGCACCGTCGGCTGCGGCTGGTGGGACCTCTGCTGCAGCATCCTCTTTATCATCGTCCTCGATAAGCACAAGGGTGAGCTGTAGCGGCATAATTTCTGTATAATGAAATTCTGTATAATGAAATTCTAACCTTCCTGTGAGCAGTCGTGATCTGTTGTGAGCAGTAATTTGTGCATGCATGTCCTCATGCCAACTCAGCACGTGTGGATAGCATGTCCTCATGCCAGCTCACTTTCAGTCACAATCAGTCATTGCAGCTTGGATCGTGTCTACCCTTACCCCCCTATCTGCGATTCTCTTTGCCATTGCCTTGTCAACAAGCTCCAATGCAGGCTGCTTGTTCCCTTTTGAATTGTGCCCTTGGTTTTCTTTCTCCTCCCTCCCTCTATCCAGCTTCTCACACTAGAAGCATCCAGGAAACAGCAGCAACAAGACGAGTCGTGCCGGCTGAAACGTCTTCACGCCACGTCAGCACCACGTTCTTCTGCTGCAAGAGGGAGAGGGGAGATGCGTGGGGGGCGAGGGAAGGGACAAGGGGGTAAGGAACGGTTGAGAGAGCAGACAGAGGAGTTACATAATAAACGGGAAGAGAGGCTGAGGGCTGCTACTGAGAGACAGCAGCAGCAGCGAATGGGCATGTTTAATCCATTTGGCAGGTTTTTTAGGGGAGGAACTGGGTCGTGACTCGTGACCCGTAAGGAAACATGTACCGTAAGGAAGTTAGGTTTCAAGGCTTGTCATGTAGTTTCTTTCAATTGTTTTTTTTTTTTTTTTTTCAGATGGTTTTACAATTGTTTTCAAAATTTGTTGTTTTTTTACCAATAGAACTGCCCGTCTTGATTTCCTGCTCAGCCTGTGAATCAATGCTGTTGAGATAAATATATGAGAATGCCAATCAGCAGTTCATGCACCTTTGCTAGTGATAAACGTTTTTTTGAACATTTCAAGAAAAAAACATGTAGCTGCCAATATCCAAACAGAATGACGACAAGCTACAGGTACCCCCAAATTCACGATGACGATGCCCCCTCTCCATTGTTTGAGGAGGCGATGGAATCACGCGCGCTTCGTGGTGAACTGCGACGTGATTGGTCGCTGAAATCCGCAAGGCTGAGAACTTTTGGAACCGCCACCGTACTGCAAAGCACCGTAACTTGGATAAAACTCTCTGTACGGTCTTCAACCTAATCGAATGTGTTTGCCGAATTTGCCAGGAAAGGAAAATTTATGTACCACCCCCTTCTACCTCTGCATTCCATTCCATTCCGTGTTTCCCAATTTTCCATTCCAGTCTAGCTTCTAACTTACCAGTTCCGCTCTGCTCCTCCCCCACCATGGACGAGCTTCACAAAATTCCTGGTATGAATTCCGGTCCCCCTCCTCCCACCATGGCCGAATTTCAGAAGATGGGCCTCCCGGAGGTTCAGGAGCGCATCGACCAGCTGTACGGCGATCGCAATGCGAAGAACTTTCGCGAAGGCCTCGGCAAGGGATTGGTGTCCGTCGGTAAGGGCGTGTTCGCCGGCGTCGGAGGGCTCATCGTGGCGCCGGTCGCGGGGCTCGTGCAGCAAGGCGGCGTCGGGCTTATCAAAGGAACCTTTTTAGGGGTTGCAGGTGCCGTCGTTTTGCCGACCGTTGGGATCGTGCAAGGCGTGCGGCAGCTGGGCGAGGGGATTAAGAACACTCCCGACGCGGTTCGGGAGATGATGAAAAAGGATAAGTGCGAGGAGGAGGCGGAGAAATCGGAGGTAGTGGAGGATGCCGAAGCGGATAAGGTCAACGAAGAGACGTACTCGCACACGCGCGAAGCTGTTGAGAAAGTCGCGCTCGAAGACGAAGCCGCGAAATCCGCCGCGAAATCAGCGGAACCTTCCGAAGCCGCCGCGGCGGCGCCCGCGGAAAAACGGGAGAAGCGGGAGGTTAAGGAGGAGGAGCTGTATGTGGCTCTGGAGGTTTCGACCGACGCGACGTCCGCGGAGATCAAGAAGGCGTACTTTAAGGTGCGTGGTGGAAATCAGGGAGGGAGGGAGTTTTGAGTTGCCTCAAGACCGACGCGACGTCTGCGGCGATCAAGACGGCGTATTACAAGGTGAGTCGTGATGAAAGTCCCGGCGGAGGGAGGAATGGGGGGGGGGGGGAACTCGCCAAGTCGCTTATAATCGGGGTAAAATGAGTGAAAAGAAGGAAATTATGAAGTGGAAAACCCGTCCCGCTTCAAGAAGCGCCTCCAAACCGCCATGCGTGTTATCATACTAGACGTTAGGACAACATTCATCCCTTCCGCGACCCATCTTTCCGTCTCCGCCTTTCTTCGCACTGTATCCCCTTTGTCGCTCGCACTTGTATCGCATCTGCAGCTAGCGCGTACGTGCCATCCCGACAAGGTCCCTGACGACGAAGCCGCCAAGGCCAAGTTCCAAGCCATCGGCGAGGCGTACCAAGTCCTCATGGACCCCGAGACGCGCGAGAAGTACGACCATTACGGCCGCGCCGCGCTCGACGGCACCTTCATGGATCCCGGCTATTTCTTCACCATGTCCTTCGGCGCGGAGAAGTTCAAGCCGCTTGTCGGAGAGCTTACTATCGCGCACACGGCGGCGGGGAATCTGACAGTAGAGGAGGTGAAGAGGTGGCAGGTGAAGAGGGAGAAGGAGCTCGCGGCGATTCTGGTGAAGCGGCTGGAGCCGTGGATGTCGGGCGACGAAGAAGGATTTGTGCGCGACGCCGTGAAGCAGGTGGATGAGCTCAAGGGCGAGGCGTTTGGCGTCGCGTTCCTGCAGTGCATCGGGTATGTGTTTACTGGAGCTGTAACGGGTACTTCCATTGTTCCGAATTGCAGCTTCACGTTACCGTATCTTTGTCAAGCTATCCATTCTTTTTTTGCTTGCGGATAGCTAAATCAAAGAGTCAGTTAATTAAACAATGAATCTTTCCAAATTCTCTTCCTTTATGCTGTAAATCGAGTCGAAATGCTTATCTGAATATATATTCAACACCCGCCGCTCCCATCCCTCCCTTCCCTCCCCAAATCTAAAAACTCTCCCATCAGCTATACCTACTACACGCGCGCGCAAGTGCTGCTGGGCATGACGGTGATGCTGGGCATTCCGAACTTCGTGAATGCAGCCAAGGAGTCCAACCACGCGATGAAGACTCGCCACAACGCCATCGGCGCTGCGTTCAAGTGAGTGAAACTCCTAGGGCCGGGTGTATGGACAAACCAAGAATCCGAGCTATTTTTTTATAAATTCAACACTCTTAATGCTCTCACTACCGTAGAATTCCTTACGGTACCGTGCATCATTGTATTGCTGATTGCATAACATCTTTCCTGGTGACCTGCCTGATGAGCTACTGCTGTTTTAAGAAGAATAAATAGACGCAAGAAGTGTAGTTGCCCATAACCTTTCAACGTTTCCTCATCAGAAAAATCCAAGCCTCTTCATACCCCAAGGCAATCCAAAAGGCAGGTTACCAATATTTCTCAGAATGTCTTCAGCAAGTATTCATTCACCATGCTCCCCCCGTCCCCTCCTGATAACCTCGCTCCCTCTCTCACCAAGTTTCCCCAAAAGTTCCCTGCATGCAGAGTACATTGGCGCGCTTCCCTTCCCACAAATCCCCCATCACCTCCCTCCATCCCCCTTGCCCCATCAGGCTGGCGGACATGCAAGTCACGGTGGACCCCACCAAGCCTCCCACCGAGCAGCGTCCTATGCTTCTCCGTGCTTCCCCCACATCATGGACCCCCAACAACCTCCATTCACTCAATCCCCCCGTGCTTCCCCCCAACACCTCCCTCCATTCCTTCCTCCCCACCAGGCTGTCGGACATGCAGGTCACGGTGGACCCCACCAAGCTTCCCAGCAAGCAAGCAGGCCAGGGTGCCCCCCTTGCAATGCTCCCTCCATCCCGTGCTCACTCCATTCCTTCCTCCCCACCAGGCTGTCGGACATGCAGGTCACGGTGGACCCCACCAAGCTTCCCAGCAAGCAAGCAGGCCAGGGTGCCCCCCTTGCAATGCTCCCTCCATCCCGTGCTCACTCCATTCCTTCCTCCCCACCAGGCTGTCGGACATGCAGGTCACGGTGGACCCCACCAAGCTTCCCAGCAAGCAAGCAGGCCAGGGTGCCCCCCTTGCAATGCTCCCTCCATCCCGTGCTCACTCCATTCCTTCCTCCCCACCAGGCTGTCGGACATGCAGGTCACGGTGGACCCCACCAAGCTTCCCAGCAAGCAAGCAGGCCAGGGTGCCCCCCTTGCAATGCTCCCTCCATCCCGTGCTCACTCCATTCCTTCCTCCCCACCAGGCTGTCGGACATGCAGGTCACGGTGGACCCCACCAAGCTTCCCAGCAAGCAAGCAGGCCAGGGTGCCCCCCTTGCAATGCTCCCTCCATCCCGTGCTCACTCCATTCCTTCCTCCCCACCAGGCTGTCGGACATGCAGGTCACGGTGGACCCCACCAAGCTTCCCAGCAAGCAAGCAGGCCAGGGTGCCCCCCTTGCAATGCTCCCTCCATCCCGTGCTCACTCCATTCCTTCCTCCCCACCAGGCTGTCGGACATGCAGGTCACGGTGGACCCCACCAAGCTTCCCAGCAAGCAAGCAGGCCAGGGTGCCCCCCTTGCAATGCTCCCTCCATCCCGTGCTCACTCCATTCCTTCCTCCCCACCAGGCTGTCGGACATGCAGGTCACGGTGGACCCCACCAAGCTTCCCAGCAAGCAAGCAGGCCAGGGTGCCCCCCTTGCAATGCTCCCTCCATCCCGTGCTCACTCCATTCCTTCCTCCCCACCAGGCTGTCGGACATGCAGGTCACGGTGGACCCCACCAAGCTTCCCAGCAAGCAAGCAGGCCAGGGTGCCCCCCTTGCAATGCTCCCTCCATCCCGTGCTCACTCCATTCCTTCCTCCCCACCAGGCTGTCGGACATGCAGGTCACGGTGGACCCCACCAAGCTTCCCAGCAAGCAAGCAGGCCAGGGTGCCCCCCTTGCAATGCTCCCTCCATCCCGTGCTCACTCCATTCCTTCCTCCCCACCAGGCTGTCGGACATGCAGGTCACGGTGGACCCCACCAAGCTTCCCAGCAAGCAAGCAGGCCAGGGTGCCCCCCTTGCAATGCTCCCTCCATCCCGTGCTCACTCCATTCCTTCCTCCCCACCAGGCTGTCGGACATGCAGGTCACGGTGGACCCCACCAAGCTTCCCAGCAAGCAAGCAGGCCAGGGTGCCCCCCTTGCAATGCTCCCTCCATCCCGTGCTCACTCCATTCCTTCCTCCCCACCAGGCTGTCGGACATGCAGGTCACGGTGGACCCCACCAAGCTTCCCAGCAAGCAAGCAGGCCAGGGTGCCCCCCTTGCAATGCTCCCTCCATCCCGTGCTCACTCCATTCCTTCCTCCCCACCAGGCTGTCGGACATGCAGGTCACGGTGGACCCCACCAAGCTTCCCAGCAAGCAAGCAGGCCAGGGTGCCCCCCTTGCAATGCTCCCTCCATCCCGTGCTCACTCCATTCCTTCCTCCCCACCAGGCTGTCGGACATGCAGGTCACGGTGGACCCCACCAAGCTTCCCAGCAAGCAAGCAGGCCAGGGTGCCCCCCTTGCAATGCTCCCTCCATCCCGTGCTCACTCCATTCCTTCCTCCCCACCAGGCTGTCGGACATGCAGGTCACGGTGGACCCCACCAAGCTTCCCAGCAAGCAAGCAGGCCAGGGTGCCCCCCTTGCAATGCTCCCTCCATCCCGTGCTCACTCCATTCCTTCCTCCCCACCAGGCTGTCGGACATGCAGGTCACGGTGGACCCCACCAAGCTTCCCAGCAAGCAAGCAGGCCAGGGTGCCCCCCTTGCAATGCTCCCTCCATCCCGTGCTCACTCCATTCCTTCCTCCCCACCAGGCTGTCGGACATGCAGGTCACGGTGGACCCCACCAAGCTTCCCAGCAAGCAAGCAGGCCAGGGTGCCCCCCTTGCAATGCTCCCTCCATCCCGTGCTCACTCCATTCCTTCCTCCCCACCAGGCTGTCGGACATGCAGGTCACGGTGGACCCCACCAAGCTTCCCAGCAAGCAAGCAGGCCAGGGTGCCCCCCTTGCAATGCCCTTAAAGCCCATCTTCTGCAGCAGTTTAAAGCCGATGTTCGATGGCGGTATGGGCGCCGCGAGGCCTTCCGCGAGAACCGCCGCCTCGGCCTTGTCTTTCTCCGCGCGTGCCTGCTGCCGCCGCTCCTGCCACGTCAGCATCTTCCAATCGTCTGGCCGCTGACGTGGCGCAGGCTTGGCCGGCTTCTTCTGCCGTTGCTGCCGCTGCTGCTGCTGATCGCGAAGGTTCGACGCATCTTCTGGCGGCAAGAAGACCGAGAGATCGCCCATGTAATCGTTCCCGTCATCGTCGCCGCCAGGCGCGGCTGCCGCCATGGATCTACGTACGCGATAAAGAGCGGATCTTACTAAGAAGCAAAATCGTATACCATTTTTAAATCGAGCGAAAGTCGCCCGGTTCTTGCGTCCTCGATCAGAACGACGCAATTCTGATTTGATATCTTTCTGTTTGGCTTCTCAACAAGCGTAGCCGGTATTCTGTTATTGATTCTCAGTTTGCCTAGTCGGGGATGTGCGGCTGGATGGAAGAAGCGAATGACTGAGGCACACTGAACCGAAGTGCATGCGAGTGGCTCAAACATTGCTTTCTAAGTGGAGTGGTCTGCTCTGATGGGCCCCAACAACTGCGTACAGCCTTGAGCAAAACATGCCCAGAAAACACTTCAAAACATAACCTGCTGCTACTACTTTTTTTCGGTTGACCATTGTCTTCGTCCTTCGGGACATCCGTTAAAATTGGAACGATACAGAGAAGATTAGCATGGCCCCTGCGCAAGGATGACACGCACAAATCGAGAAATGGTCCAAGTTTTTTTGGCGACCTCACGGAGCACGTCGACCAATCACATCGCACCTTCCTCCCCCGAACATTTCCCATCCCAACCTGCATGCCTTGGAAATCTCGAGGAATTCGAGAGAATTCTGCAGGAATTCAAGCTTCCGCTATTTCATGCGTGTGCCATGTTTGCCAAAAAGGACTCCTGCAAGCCTTTCTTGAGCACACACCTGGTTCTCCTCGCGTACGCAACAGCCCTCCCACCTAGTTCCCAGCCTTGCTTCTGCCACATTCACACGCGACTTCTCTATGTCCGCTGCGCTAGTTCCCAGTGCTTTATTCAGCCGCTCTGTCATTTGCTTCTCAAGGAGCAGTAGGCTGATCGGCTGTAACGTACGACCATCCCGCTGTTTCTCCCGCACACCTTCATCCGACGCTCATCTATTCCATTCTCAGGTCGACGCGGCTCGAAACCTCCCCTTCCCGCTGCTCGCCGGCCATTTTCAAATCCCACTACCGTCGCCATGTCTCAAAATCCGAATCAATCCGCGAATCCGAATTCACCCAACTCATTTCGACAAAATCAGGATCTTCCAGAGTTCCCCAACCCGTTCGACAATGCCGGCGATTTCGAGCTCGGCTTTCCCGTGCGAAGCCTCAAAGAGCTGTTGCTGTGTCGCGTCATGGGTCAGATTCGGGAGAAGCCGGATTGGATGCGGAAGGTGACGGACGACGAAATCGTCAAGAGATGGAAGGCGGAATTGACGGAGCCGGCAGCGGTCGTCCATCCTGACGGTTTCATCGACGCCAGCAAGGAGTACTGGAGTGCGGAGGAAGCTTCGGCCGTGCTTTCGTTCCTGAGGGAGACCACAACGCGGCCTGTCAAGGTGATCATCGGACGTGAGTGAGCGTTCCGTGTCTCCAAAAACCGCTTTCAAGAAATAGTAGCAAATCAAATTCTACAGCTTTTGTTTTCTCGTTTTCTTTTTGTGTAGGGGATAGCAGTGCTCCAGCTGTAGAATCTTTGCTCTCTGAACTCAGCCTATAAGCTTTTCCACTCTCTGTCTCTCCATCCTTGAGTTTCTGCATTGCCCTTCTTCTTATCCCTCACTCTCTCTCACCTCTCTCCCTATCTCTTTCCCTCTCCTTGTCTCTCCCTTCCCCTCCCAGATCGACCCTGCTCTCTTCGCCTACGCAATCTCTGAGCTACGCTGGCTCGTCTCCTCCCTCTCCTCCTCATCCTCCTCCCCTCCCTCTTCTCCACTCTCCTCTCTCTCCCTCCACGGGAATCCCAAGGTCCTACCCTCCGCAGTAGACGGCGTATTCATCTCCCCAGACCCCCCATTCGACCCCTCACTCAAGCAACTCTTTTTAGACGGAATCACCACGCTAGAATCAGTTCCCGAGGATCAAATCGACTACCACCCAGGCTCAAATCACCAAGTAGTCGATCTCATTCACCCCAGCCTGCATTGCCTGGTCTTTGGTCGCACTAGAGTCATCCAGGATCCGCCCAACGACCTTCAGATTCTGCCCTGGGATGAGCTGGTTAGCAGCTTGGGAGAGGTGGCTCGGCCTATGCCGCCCGGCCAGCCGACCCGACCGGTGTTTTACCCAACCGGGAATCATTCGTACCTCTCGGAAAAGTTTCAGTGGCTGCCCGCCGAGGTGGATGTTGCAGCTGACAGGCAGAGTGCAAAGTTTCGGTCGTATATTAATAACCTGCATCCGCATGAATTTGCGGGGATGTATCGGGGCTTGGAGCATATTTTTGCCACTGCGTTTGTGCCGTTGTTTAACAAAGTGCTGACAGAAGCGGTCCGGCAGCGACGAGAGCGATTTGACTATGATATTTACGGGTAAGTTCATTTAAGCCTGTGTGAACTGGTTTTATGTTGTTGCTTATTGGTAGAACATGTATGTTGCCGTAGTGGTGTTTGGGTCGTCAAAACTGTAATCACTGTATTTATCTCCAATGCACTCTTATGTCACCGTGTTTATCTCCAATGCACTCTTATGTCACTGTGTTTATCTCCAATGCACTCTTATGTCACTGTGTTTATCTCCAATGCACTCTTATGCCACTGTGTTTATCTCCAATGCACTCTTATGCCACTGTGTTTATCTCCAATGCACTCTTTCACTGTACACCTACCTTTTGCCTTGCCACGCTGCAGGTGGTATGATGAGTGGAAGGGCGAGAGGGAGTATGACAAGGATGATGACGACGACTACCACCAGTGGCTGGTGGACCGGCAGCCCAAGCCCTGTTCCCAGGCTCCATCCCATGTTTCCATTGTGCCTCTATGCGATCCCTTCTCCCTCCCACCTATCACCCCACTGCAGCCCAAGCCCTGCCCTCCAAGGCTTCCTGTTCCTACTGTGCCTCTAATCAACCGCTTCTTCTTCCCTCCCACCAGGTGGTACGATGAGTGGAAGGGCGAGAGGGAATATGACAAGGTCGACGACGACGACTACCACCAGTGGCTGGTGGACCGGCAGCCCAAGCAGTGCTCCAAGGCCCCATCCCATGTTTCCATTGTGCCTTGTTCCCATGCTTTCTTGCTCCCACTTATCGCCACACTCCAGATGGTATGATGAGTGGAAGGGCGAGAGAGGATACGACAAGGAGGACGACGACGACTGCCACCAGTGGCTGGTGGACCGGCAGCCCAAGCCCTGCCCTCCAGGTCTCTCTGTTTACATTGTGCCTTGATACGATACCTTCTGCCTCCTCTTCTCCCTCCCACCTACCAGGTGGTATGATGAGTGGAAGGGCGAGAGGGAATACGACAAGGACGACGACGACGACTACCACCAGTGGCTGGTGGACCGGCAGCCCAAGCAGCCAGACACCCCTGCAGAGTTCTCGCCCCCAGTGCCTCCCTCCCCTGGGCACGTGGTGGATCTGAAAGGGCGGCGACTGCAGGTGGTGGTGAAGGTGGCGAGCATTCAGTTGACTCCTGAGAGCCCGAGATACCCTGGGGGTACTTGGCATGTGGAGGGCATGAGGAATGAGCATATTGTGGTGAGTTCTCCCCCGAACCGCCCCCATCTCCCAGGCACGTGGTGGAGCTTAGGGGGCGTGTGGAATGAACACATTGCAGTTAGTGATAGGGGCTGTGGTGGATGGGAAGGAGGAAGTGAGGGCACGTGGTGGAGGTGAGTGGGGCGGTGGGTGCAGGTGGTGGTGAAGGTGACGAGATACTCGAGAGGCATGTGGAGGAATGCACACATCGTGGGGGCTGTGAGATCAGTGAGGGGAGGGCAGGGGAGGGGAGGTGTGTGGAATGAGCACATTGTGGTGAGAGGATGCAGGTCAGTGGGGCGGTGGGTGCAGGTGGTGGTGAAGACGGCGAGATACTTGAGAGGCACGTGGAGGGGACGAGGAATGAGCACATCGTGGTGAGTGTAGGGGCTGTGACGGGGATAAGTGAGGGGAGGGCAGGGGAAGGGAGGGGTGTGTGGCATGAGCACATCGTGGTGAGAGGATCGTGGTGAGAGGATGCAAGTGGGTGGGGGAATGCGAGAGGGTGGCATGTGTAACAAACACAAGGTGGTGAGTGAAGACGGGGAGTAAGCGAGGGGAGGGGAGATATATCACATAGATACATAACGGGCCCATTGCAACTGATCTAGTTTTTTCCCTCCGTACCCCTCTCTCAGACAACTTTTTCTCCCTTCCCCCTTCTCCCCTTCCCCGTACCCCTCTCTCATCCCACGTGCATCTACTATTTCAATTCTCACAGCATCACCGAGTCACGCCTTTAGTTTAGAATCATCGTTGCCGAACAGACTATGACCAGAACGACAACAAAGGCTTTACCCCGACCAAAGGCTAAGCCATAACACCTCTACATCCTCCCCTCCACTCCCCCTTTTTCCCCTCCCCGTCCCGTTTTCCCCTTCCCCTCCACATTTCCCCCGTCCCCCCCACCCCTTTTTCCCTCCCCATTTTCCCTTCCCCCAGGCCACAGGCATCTACTATTTCGACTCTGACAACATCACCGAGTCGCGCCTTCAATTCAGGATCACCTATATCCTCCCCGCCATTCCCCCTTTTCCCACCCCTCCCCATTTTCCCCCTCCCCACCCCGTTTTCCCTTCCCCCAGGCCACAGGCATCTACTATTTCGACTCTGACAACATCACTGAGTCGCGCCTTCAGTTCAGAATCACCGTTGCCGAACCAGACTACGACCAGAACGACAACAAAGGCGTGGCTCGGATATACGGCCTGGTGGACGACGGACCTCTCACCCAACCTCTAGGCTCAGTCCGGACCGACATCCCGAACCTCTGCCTCGCCTTCCCAAACCACTTCCACCACCGCGTCGCGCCGTTCGAGCTACAGGACAAAACCCGCGCCGGCCACCGGAAGATTCTTGTCTTTTTCCTGGTGGATCCGCGGGTGGCGATTGTATCCACTGCGCGCGTGCCACCTCAGCAGATGAGCTGGCAGAGGAGGGAGCTGGAGAGAAAAGGCCACCCGTGTTCGGTCCTGCCTGGGTTAGCTCTTGATTTGATTGCACAGGGAGTGGGTGGGGGAGAGGGTGGGGAGGAGGGTAAGGGAGAAAGTAGTGGTGTGGAGAGAGGTGGGGAGGAGGTTAGGGTTGACGAGGGAGGAGATGGAGGAGAGGGTCAAGGTGTGAAGGAAGAGAGCAGGGGTGTAGATAGAGAGAGCAGGGACGGCAGGGGCACAGCAATGACAATGGAAGAAGCAAAGAAGAATCGGGAGGCTCTGATGGAAGAGAGGAAGGCGCTGGTGCAGCTGGCCAATGAGGAGCTCTTTGAACGGCCCTTCTCGCTCTGCGAACACTGATAAGGTAATTCCGTGCGGCGGGTGGCATATATGGAAGATTCATCTGTTAGGGAAGGTGCTGGTTCAGCCGGCCAACGAGGAGCTCTTTGAATGCCCCTTCTCCCTCTGCGAGCACTGATGGTGGAAAGCAAATCTCGTGAAACAGCCACCATATAATGAATCAGCTGTTAAGGGGGCGCTGGTTCAGCTGGCCAACGAGGAGCTCTTAGGACACCCCTTCTCCCTCCGCTAGCTCTGATGCCGTACTGTAATTCATTGAGACAGCTGGCGTAGAAAGAGTCAGCAGTTTCAGTGCTTGCCGAGGCAGAAGGGGCCGAAGGGGCAGAAGGTGCAGATGGGGCAGAAGGGACAGATGGGCAGAAGGGCAGAAGGGCAGAAGGGCAGAAAGGCAGAAGGGCAGAAAGGGAGAAGGGCATTCAAACACCTCCAAAATGGGCTGTTTCTAACAGGCCTTATCGCTCTGTGAGACTGACTGCCTGTGCTGGTTTTTCCTCTCCAGGCCAGGAACTTCAGCGATAGTGAGAGAAGGGCAATAAAAAACTTTGGCATTCCAGTGACCTGCTGGATTGGAATTTGGTACAATAGAATGTCAGATACAATAGAATGTATACGTATATAGAAACCTGTACGACTACTTGTCGTATAGCACTGCTCATTATCGACGTATTCGCTCAGATAGTGGGCAGGGGGGTTCTTAGGGCGGGTCCGAAAAGTGGTATTTCTCGCGACAAAACCCAACCTTTTTAGGGCGAATTCCTAGCTCGTGTCTGACATCAGGTCATTGGCCCTTAGTCTCTGATGTGTCTCTTCCAAATGTTGATTTGCCCCTATTCCGAGTCACTTCGGGTCTTCCGAGCCTCTTCTGTGCCGATGACCTGATGTCAGACACGAAATAGGAATGCGCCCTTATTCTCAGATAGGGTCTCTGAGTTGTACCAAGCGTTGTTCAATCTCTCGGATGTGCTCTCCAAAAACACGCCCTTACTGGAAAGCTTCAGGGTTATTCCGTCCCGAGCAGAGACCCAGAATGTGAACCAGGAGCATCCAGTGCACTCGAGGTGGTATGTTAGCTCCATGTCATCTCGTCCCGCCGCATATGAACCGTTCTGTTTTCCACAGATTCGCTCTAAACATCGCAGTACATCATTTCCGTCAAACTTCCTTCCTCACCTTCCCCAAAACACAACACAGAGAGCGGAACTTGCGCCGTGCTGTGCGTAGCTTCATGAATCTCGACATGGAAAATGTCGGACCCACCATTGCAAGCATATGTAGCGGACTATTTAGACTCCAGTCCGAGTAGTAATCGTGTAGACGTCTGCTCGAGGAAGAGCGACGTCCGTGAGGGAATGCGCGTTTTCAGCCTTCCGCGCAGCGATTATTGTTATCCATGTAATCGTCGCCTTCCCCGCGACGTCATGTCGCCCCTCCCAGGCGCGACAGGCAGGTGTCGTACCCGCAGCCTGTAGCTGCGCCGTCCCGCACGCAGGTGTCGTAGCCGCAGCTGAGATGAGCTGAGCTGAGCTGAGCTGAGCTGCAGGTGTCGTACCCGCAGCAATAATTGTTTTTCTATTTAGCTGAGCTGCGTCAGGCGCGCAGGTGCCCCAGCTAGTAGTACTAGCTAGCTGCGTCGTCCCGCACGCAGGTGCCGCTTTGCTAGCTGCGTCGGTCGCGCAGGTGCTAGTAACCCCGTTGAAGTCGATTCTGAAACGTCCGAGTCGACTCAAAAGTCGCAACACTCGTAGTAGCTAGCGCCTGCCGCGTCGGTCGCGCAGGTGTCGCCGTAGTAGCCGTAGCAGCTGCCCACGTCTGCATTTCTTTCTTCACACAGAGATTCGGACCACCTCAGGGTCATGGCGAGCCTCTTCCCCATGCATACTACACTCCCCGCCCGCCGCGCCATCCCCCGCGGTCCCCCGTCGACCCCGCCCAGTCCCCCGCCCCGTGGCAGTCCTCCTCCTCATCGCTCATCGGACACTATATATCGAATCGAAGCGGCCTCTCCATTCCAACCCACCCTCTCCTTTCGCTCCTTATCCGCTAACTCCCCTTACTCACTTGAGCGCCATTACTCCCTTCAGCCTTGGGTCTTTTCCATTCCACACACACTCAGCCTGAGTTGAACCCGATCTCTCTCTGGCAGCCATGGCGATCGCACTACTCCTGCCGGCGTCGTCGCGTCCCCCGCTCCTCCTCCTCCTCCGCGGAGGATCCTTCCTGCTCGCTTCGCTGCTGCTGCTGCTCTCCTCCGCTCACCTCCCCCTCCGCGCGCGCGCGCAGGGGGAGTGCTCCGCCACGCTGCTTTGCCCCAACAAGCTCTGCTGCAGCCAGTGGGGCTGGTGTGGCTCCACCGTCGATCACTGCGGCGCTAACTGCCTCTCCCAGTGCTCCCCGCCTCCCGTAACCAGCCCCTCTCCGCCCGCAAGCGGCTCCCCAACCCCCTCGTCTGCGCTGAAGCGCATGGCGTATTTTGGCAGCTGGGGGAACAGGGCCGCCATCCCTGCTGCCAAGCTCACGCACGTCTTCTACGCCTTTGCTTCCATCAACCCCACCACTTACAAGGTAGCTACCGCACTGCGCCGCTGTCTTGCCATGCACACACTTCTCCGTGCCATCTGCTGCAGGTGCTTTGACATTCCTCTTCCATTCCCCCTGCCATCTCAGACTCATACCAGCCTGCCATCTCAGACTCATACCCCCTGCTATCTCTTGCCCTCCTTGAGCAGCCTTAGCCCTTTCCCAACCCAATATTCCGTCCCTCCTCTCTCTCCCATCCCATCCCAGGTCGTCTCGTCCAACGCAGCAGTGGAAGTCGACGGGGGTTTGTATAAGCTCTTCAACACGGACCTAAAGAGAGCCAACCCCGCCATCAAGACGCTCCTCTCCATTGGCGGCGCCGCTGCCGGCACCACCGTTTTCGGCAACGCCGCCTCCTCCTCCGCCACCCGCTCTGTTTCCATGTAATCCGCGATCGCCCTCGCCCGCGCGCACAACTTCGACGGTCTGGATCTCGACTGGGAGTTCCCGACCGGCAAGGCCGCCTCGTTCTCCGTGCTGCTCACGGAATTCCGGGCGGCGATCGAATCCGAAGCCGCTTCCTCTAAGAAACCCAAGCTCCTTCTCTCTGCGGCTGTTGCTCCCGACGAGAAGAGAATCGCTGAATGCTACAACGTCCCGACGCTTAACAAGGCACTGGACTTTGTTAATATTATGTCGTACGATTTCCACGGGCCTTCGTGGGAGAAAACGACCGGCATGCACACTGCTCTGGAGGATAGCAGCGCGAAGCTGAACGTCAGGGCTTCCATGGCTGCCTGGGTGTCCCGAGGCTTGGCCCGAAGCAAGGCCATGGTAGGCTTGGCGGGTTACGGCAAAACCTGGACTTTAACCTCGGCAAGCAGCACTGGGGTTGGAGCCGCGGCCCTTGGTGCTGGTCAGAAAGGGTCTATCAGCCAGGTTGGCCCTCCCCTCCCTGTTTCTACTCTGCATCGTGCTTCTTTCCCTTTCTCTCACCCTCTCTCTCACACATGTTTGCGAGCCTTTTGCGTTGTTTTGGTCTCTTCTTTGCCTCATGCAGTTTCAGATTGTAACTTATTCCTCTTCTTTTATTTTTTGAATGACGTCCAAGCAAGTAGCTTCCAACAAGCTCTTATCATCCTTTCCCTTGGCCTGCATTTTCCCTCTCCACCCCACCAACAGGAAGCCGGTACTCTCTTCTACAAGGAAATCAATCAGCTGGTAACCACTGGAGGTTACAAAGCTTATTACCACACCCCATCGTCATGCATGTATGCTGTGAAGGGTGACCAGTGGGTTGGTTACGACGACCCTTCCACCATCACCAAGAAGGTCCAGTTTGCCAAGGCGCAAGGCTATGGAGGGTGGTTCCTGTGGGAAGCGAGCCAGGATGCCAGCAATGCTCTGCTCAATGCTGCAGCAGCTGCTTGATTTGAACCCAACAGTCGGAGGGCAGTATGAGAAGTATTCTATGCTTGTTACTATGTTTGAAGTGTAGACGCGCTGTTGTGGTGTTGGAGGTGGATGTGTTAATGTTCTAATCAAGTGCTGGTTTTTCGAAGCTCGTGTTTTAGTTCCTGTTCCGCACAGCCCACAGCCCATGAAACCTACGACCCTGCACAGCCAGGCAGATTTCCGCACTACTGAACGAGAATTAATGCATTGAGAAGAAACTGAGTACAAGTACTAACTCTAATTGGGTTGTACCCTTTATGGGCTACCCCACTACAGCCTACACAATATAAGCATTATAACAGTTTGACACACCCCCATAGGCAAAGTGGGGGAGAACAGGAGGTCACAAGACCAGTCAAGAAAAAGCAAAGCAAGCTCAGGGTGGATCACAAAGTCACAACACACTCTGAGCACAAGCAAATGGCCACAAGGCCAGTCCCCATGCAGAGTTCTATAAACGAGAACAAACAGAACCTAGCAGTGGTAAGCATGCATGTATATGTATATAGATCACAGTACAAGCAAAGTCACGCAGTGAGCAAGTGAGACAAAACAGGCACAAGCAGGCCCTCAGATTGCAGGAATTTTACCCTGATTTTGTCTTTGAACCCTGATTTTCAGGGTATTTTTAGGTCCCAACCCTGATGAGAGTTTTTTTTTTACTGCCTACACTGATTTTTCAGCTAACTTTCTTGTACCAGGCCTGAAATTTCAGCCTACTTTTGCTAGGGGACCCTGATTCGAATCATACAGTAGTTGGGCCATCCCTGTTAGCGAAATTGCCTAGATTCGATGAATCTAGCAAAAAAATCGCCCAAAATTTTCGCCGTCACCGTCAATAACGGGAAACGACATCTTAGGGCATGTTACTACACCCCCCTTATCAGGCTACATCTTGTCAGAATCGCCTCACCACCATTGCTGCACCACCAGTGTTTCCCTCCCCCCCTTCCCGTGTCAAATGTTGATGTTTGTGATAGGCTGTAGTGAGGTGCTCCTTAGTGAGTACAAACATGTTAGGGTTTCCTAGTTGTACCCCAACTCCTTTCTAGTCAAGCATTCCGTTGTTCGCTAACTTTGAGATGGTATCATGAGTAGGTGTCGATCCTCTCGCCTAGCCTAGCCTAGCTCGCGCCCTAGCGCCCTCCGCGCCCTTGCGCCCTAGCACCCTCCGCGCCCTCCGCGCCCTCCGCGCCTTCGCCTCTGCGCCCTCCGCGCCATCTCTGCGCCTTAGCGCCCTCCTCCTCCGCGCGTTAGCGCCCTCCGCGCCCCTAGCCTGCGCCCCTAGCCCGTCGCCCAGGCCCACGCCCTAGCCCGACGCCCAGGCGCCCGCCCTAGCCCGTCGCCCAGGCGCCCGCCCTAGCCCGTCGCCCAGGCGCCCGCCCTAGCCCGTCGCCCAGGCGCCCGCCCCAGCCCGTCGCCCAGGCGCCCGCCCCAGCCCGTCGCCCAGGCGCCCGCCCTAGCCCGTCGCCCAGGCGCCCGCCCGAGCCCGTTGCCCAGGCGCCCGCCCCAGCCCGTCGCCCAGGCGCCCGCCCTAGCCCGTCGCCCAGGCGCCCGCCCCAGCCCGTCGCCCAGGCGCCCGCCCCAGCCCGTCGCCCAGGCGCCCTCCCCAGCCCGTCGCCCAGGCGCCCGCCCCAGCCCGTCGCCCAGGCGCCCGCCCCAGCCCGTCGCCCAAGCGCCCGCCCCAGCCCGTCGCCCAGACGCCCGCCCTAGCCCGTCGCCCAGGCCCGCGCCCTAGCCCGTCGCCCAGGCGCCCGCCCTAGCCCGTCGCCCAGGCGCCCGCCATGGCCCGTCGCCCCAGCCCGCGCCCTAGCCCGTCGCCCTAGCCCGCGCCCTAGCCCGTCGCCCCAGCCCGCGCCTTGGCCCGTCGCCCCAGCCCCGCAGGCAGCGCGCCCCGCGGGTAGCGCGCCCCGCAGGCGGCGCGCCCCGCGGGTAGCGCGCCCCGCAGGCAGCACACCCTGCAGGCAGCGCGCCCCGGAGCGCATTAGTGCCAGAAAATAAATAAATACATGAAACCCTAAAAAAAAAAAAAAAAAAAAAAAAAAAAAGGGTTTAGGGTGGGGGCCTGCAACTGTCGCCCGCGTTCCTGCTTGCCGGACGACCTGCACAGATGCCTACATCCCGCAGCCGTCAGTACTGCAGCCCCTATTGTCGCACGTACTTTCCACTGCCAGTGGCTCTACTAGCGGCAGCCGACAGCCGCACTTACGGTCTCTAGCTCCGGCCGTTCCTACCTCCAGCCAGCCCTAGCTCGCCGTTTCTAGCTCCAGCCAGTTGTGCTCCAGCCGTTCTAGCTCCAGCCGTTCTCGCTCCAGCCGTTCTCGCTCCTCGCTCGTAGCTCAGTTTTCTCCGTGCTCCGGCCGTTCCTCGCCTAGTTTCACCTGGCCCTTCTAGCTCAGTTTGCTCCGTGCTCCAGCCGTTCCTCGCCTAGTTTCACCTGGCGCTCCTAGCTTAGTTCGCTCCGTGCTCCAGCAGTTACTCGCCTAGTTTCACCGGCGCTCCTAGTTGTTCTTGTTTTTCACTGCAGTCGTCCCTAGCTCCTGTCGCTCCTAGCCTGCCGCTCCTGCACCCCGCTAGCTTTTATCATGGAGTCCACTAGGGTTCTCCAGTAGCAGGGACAGCAGCAGCGACCGTTTCAACATTGGCTTCCGCAGCAGCAGGGGCGCCCTCAGCAGCTGTGGCGCCCTCAGCAGCCGTGGGGGCCTGGTGGTTCAGGTCGTGTTGGCTGCAGCAGCGGCCCAGCCAGCTGGGGGGCTCGTCGCGGTGGCCGCGACGTCGGCCCCTGCCAGTACCGGATCCTGACCGGCCCTGGTGCTGGCACTACCTGCTGGCGTCCTGACCACTCGGCACAGCGCTGCTACAGCCGCCTCGACGACCTTTACCGTGAGCGTTTTGGGCCTGAGTCGGCTCCCCCGATCTGGCCCGGTCTGTTTCGTAGTGGCTATCCTGTGTTTGATATGTCTATGGATGCTGTTTATTCTGTCACGTACGGATCTCTTGGCTTACGTGTACCAAGCTTAGGACCTTTGCCTGTTGCTAGTGTCGGTACTTGTGCTTTTAGTGTAGGTGCTTGTGTAGTCACTAGCCCTGCCATGACGACTGCTGTTGCGTCGCTCTCCTTCACGCTGGACTCCGGCGTGTCTCAGTGCTTCTTCCGCGACCACACCACTGTCACACTTCTTTCGGCTCTAGTCCCGGTTGCCCTGGCTGATCCTACTTCAGGACCAGCAGTTGCTCGCAGCTCGACCACCCTCCCGTGCCCAGCTGTCCCCTCTGGTTTCCTCACTGGTCTCTACATCCCCTCGTTCTCTCGGAACTTGGTGGGTGTTGGATACCTTCAGGACCGGCGGATCACAGTCACTTTTCTTGCGCACGGGAGGACTGCGATCTGTACGGACTCTTCCACTGGAGCAGTTCTTGCCACGTTCACCAGAGAGCCCCACTCAGGTCTCTTCGTCCTGCACACTCCGCCCCCGCAGGTAGCTGCGTCTGGTCAGGTTGCTTCGTCCCCCCCGGTAGCAGAGTCCGGTCAGGTTACTGCGTCCCCACCGGTTGCTGTGTCCGGTCAGGTTGCTGTGTCTGGCCAGGTTGCTGTGTCTGGTCTAGTTGTTGCGTCTTTCTCGTGTCGGTCTTTCACCCACCGAACCGTCTTGTGGCACCACCGGCTTGGCCACGCGTCGATCCCCCGCCTCCGCACTATGGCTAGTCACCGTCTTGTTTCAGGTCTCCCTCGCGTCTTCCCGTCGCTCCCTCCCTCGCCTGCGCCGCCGTGCACTCCTTGCGTCGCCGGCCGTCTTCGTGCCACTCCGCACTCCTCCTCCCTTCGTCCGGCCACTGCTCCCTTCCAGACACTCCACTTGGATGTCTGGGGCCCTGCACCTACGCAGGGACCTGAGAGGGAGCGCTACTTTCTGGTGGTCGTCGACGACTTCTCCAGGTACACCACGGTGTTTCCTCTCGCGAAGAAGTCCGAGGTGACTTCTACGCTGATC